TGATCAGGTATCCTTCTTTCCAATCTGATGGTATTTGTTCCTCATCCCAAATCTTCTTGAAGAGGATGTGAAATATTTTCTCAGTTGCTTCCACATCTGCTTTCATTGCCCCTGCTAAAATATTGTCCGGTCTTGCTGATTTGCTGCTCTTGACTTGACTGATGGCCATATTGATCTCCTCAATCGTAGGTGCGCCAATATTAATTGGGAGATCCGTGGATGCTGCTTTGATGTTGGGTGTGTTCCGTGGAGCTGGTCGATTCAATAGTTCCTTAAACTGCTCTACCCACCTATTTCGCTGTTGTTCAGTGTTGCTGATTACTTTGCCTTCCTTGCTTTTCACTGGTCGTTCTGGTTTACGATAGTTCCCGGCGAGCTTCTTTGTTGTTTCGTACAATTGTCTCAAGTTTCCGTCTCTTGCAGCCTTTTCCGCCGTCATTGCTAGATCTTCCACATATTTTCGTTTGTCAGCTCTGATGCTCTTCTTCACTTCCCTGTTTACTTCCGTGTATGCAGCTTGTGCCTTAACTTTCTCTGCTCTTGTTCGGCTGACATTCACTGCTGCCTTCTTGTTCCTCCTTTTTCAAGAGTATCAACAGAGATCCATTCCTTGTGATGATACTTCTTGTGACCCAGAACTTCATGACATGTTGTAGTGATTGCCTCTTTAATCCCTTTCCAATTGTTCTCCAATGTTGCTTCCTCTCCATTGAGTAGATCCTGAAAGGCCTGGAACCTATTGGTGAGGGCTATCTTGAATTCGTTGAGTTTTATGGTATCCTGAAGAAAGGTTGTATTAAAATTCTGTGATGTTGTTTGCCCCGTTGACCAGTGCTTCTTCAGTTTCAGTTTCATTTTGGCGGCCAGCAAGTAGTGATTTGAAGCTATATCAGCTCCTCTCCTGGTTCTCACATCCTCCATGGTCCTTCTGAACGTTTTGTTGATACAGATATGGTCGATTTGGTTCTGAGTAATTCGGTCCGGTGAAATCCATTTAGCATTGTGTATGCGCTTGTGTGGGAATATTGTGCCACCGATGACCAGTTTTTTTGAAGGCGCATAGGTTTGCAAATCTCTCACCGTTTTCGTTCCTTTCTCCCAGTCCATGTCGTCCCCCGATGTCTTCATATCCAGTGTTGTCCATGCCATCCTTCGCATTCAGGTCTCCCATAAGAATCGTCAAATCCTTTGGTGAACATTTCTCGACGATTGACTGCAGCATTTCGTAGAATCGATCTTTATCGTCGTCATTGTAGTCGTTGGAAGGTACATAGTACCAGACGACGTTCATTGTAATGTCCTCTTTCTTTGTTTTGAAGGATGCTTTGATGATCCTGGGTCCATGAGATTCCCATCTTATCAGTGCCTTTTGTGCATGGTTGGACAGCATCAGTGCGACTCTTCGTGTTAGTGAAGTATTTCCCTCTTCCTGAGCAGAGTGTAACAGCAGTTCCCCAGAAGCTAGTTTCAGTTGTCCTGCCTGTGTCCGATACGTTTCACTGATGCCGAGCACCTCGAGGTTGTATCTTTTCATTTGTGCCGCAACTTGAAATAGTCTTCCAGTCTCCCACAATGTACGAATGTTCCATGTACCTAAAAAAATGATTGCTCTGGTTGTCAGAACAGAGATCGGCTTCGTGACTTCCGAGGGAACTCGGCTTTCATTGCGCAACGTCATAATTCTTCTTCCAACTCCCAGGGCAGATTTAGAATGGTTTGAATTATTTCCCTTGGTTAGCGTTCTTCGGCAAGTTATTTTTTACTTGGGATGTGGGCGCCAACCCCATGTTCAACCCCTCCTCCTTTATCCGGGCTTTGGACGGCAGTAGCCCCAAATGGTCTGCGGGCGGAGTTCTACGGGCGGTTAGTCTCGGAAAATTTGAAGAGTCAGCCAATATATCCCGAAACATTAGGGTAGCAACTGAAGGCATACATCTCTAAAATATCTGCTGCGGAAGAAAGATCTAATTCAAGCCTACTACAATGAACGGTCTAACAGAATTGTATTGTGGACTACAAATTTAGTGTTTAAGTACATTGCTCAAACGCGGCGATCTTCATAATATTGACGTCTTGAAGAGTAACTAGGAAGTTTGAGCATCAGGTTCCACTGTAGGTAGGCAATGAAATTAACAGCCAACTTTGCATCTACCACAATGTTTACTCTTAGTTCATGTATTCATCGTTGAACTGACCAACTTTATAGCAGTCTAACTTGTTCCTAATATTACTTGGAAGTCCGTTCGTTTCGAATGATCCTCGGAATCTAAAGGACCTCTCTTCATAGTCCTATTCACGATACGTGCTTTGTGAGTCACTGGCCAGCACTTAAAACCTGACTAAGAACCGAATCAATGACCTCTTACCTAAGGATTCTGTTTGAATATCCATTTGCGTTCTCGGTTTGTTCGGTGAATACAGGCTGTTCCTTTTCTTACATCGTATAATTGTGTGCTATAACGGCGTGGGAGAAGAAAAATCAAGGCATGGAACTGAACAGAACATAATGTAATGACCTTTACGAAGAATGCCACCACATTTATTCTTCTGACTTGAGTAGTAGTGTGTCAGTTCAGTGAACTATAACTCAGATAGACTAGGATTCAATACCTGGAGGTTGGTTTGGAGAATCATTATCAGCAGTCTGTGCTGTATCGGAAGTCACAGGTGTTAGTAAGTAGCGCTGACGTAAATGACTACGAATTGTTCAAAGTCAGAATGACCGCCGTTATTCAAAGCATTCACAGTCGTAGAACAGCAGGCTATTGGTTTTGATAGTGAATCCATCGATTACATTGAAAGAATGAGTCCACCTAATAAGTCCACTTAATCATTAGGAAGCTACGAACTTTTAGGAGCCAACCGCGGACACAGATAATGACCAACTTTAACAAAAGAACTCAAAGTCGTAGAAACGATAAGTAGGCTAATTAGACTTCTAGATAAGGCACCAGAATACGGAGTGTCTTCATATTGGTAAGATGTCAGAACAAGCAGGCTTAAATCAACAAGAACAATAGCAGAACAAAAGAAAGCCAACCCGCGAGTATGAGTAGAAAGTGAAAAAGAGTATCGAAGAGAATAAGTGGAAATATATTGGAGACGAGGGGACATATGTGTAAGCTGCCACAAGATAATGATGAAATAACTACATAAACGAGGTAAAAGTTAAGTCAGAGTAACCAGTCAAAACGAAACTAAGAATCCAACCTCTGGGGTCCAGGAGCAATGGCGAATTTATAAAGGCTCTTGAATCAAGCAATTTGGCAGAACTCAGAAGAAATTGAAGTAGAATATACTGGTACCTTCATTTAGATGCAACTCCATCGAAAACAAAATTTAGCAAGGCCATCAGATAAGTCAGTAATGGTAACTCCAAAATACTAAACAGCATACCACCTGAAGCGATGAAGTTAGATAATCCAATAACATCATTGGTTCTCGAAGTTGTGAAGTTGTGAGATAAGGAACAGGTACCAACAAGCTGAAGGCTGAAACGTATTGACATACCGTACATAAGAGATTTTAGTGGATGAAAGAAGAACCGATGCTTCACAATTCTGTCGGAATCATTCTGTTTCCAACGGTTTTACCAAACGGGGCAACATGTCTTGTATACATTTATAAGGGTCGATCATGTGTTGACTAAATTTTGACGCCCAAGTCCACCAGAAGCAACTCATCGTTATACTTTAACTTTAATCATTGTAAGAGAGTATTAAACTTCGTGGAACCTTATTTGGCAGTTTGAGGTACCTAAAAAGATCGCCCCTCGATCCCATCAAATGCCAAACTCACTCATGAGACTCAAAAGAGATAAAAAAAATTCATTAATAACTGCCAAAAGGACTAAAATTAGTGCAATCTAGTAGCTAGGCTATGATTCATTGAACACCACCAAATACGTAGAACCGTACCAAAATAACAAGAAGCGAACTCAAAGAAATCAATCATTTTTTATTTGCTCGTGAAGAAGGTTTGTATATTGGATATTGAGTGAACCAATCGGAGTTAAGATAATGCCTAATGTACTTTGCGTAATATTCAAAGTGTTGTCATGTACAGTCATTATCAAAGTGGAAACTGGTAGTTTATCGTCGTTAGAATGCTTGAAATCCATAAAGGTATAGTCCATATAAGAAAGTGCATCCAGGATGATACTTCAGCTGACTTGACAAACATGACGGCTTTCAGCGCTCCAATATCTTTTTCACGAGATAGTATAAACCGATTGATTTATTTGCACTCGATTCTTGTTCTTTCGGTACGGTTCCAGGTTAACCGCATTTTAAATTGCCCTTCATTCAATACGCTTTCAAGAATGTTTAGCGAAGCTCGATGATATCCTTCCGAAATCTTACTCTAAATTCTAACTACAAGTGTTTTTAGTTACTAAACGGTAGGATGATAACATTAAGTAATGGCTGGTGTCATTCATTTGTCAACGGAAATTGATCGAAACTAAGTAAAAACCAGCAGCAATAGAACTGGCCAGAAACCCAAACAAATCATACCTAAATTCAATGGTTTTACCATATATTCTTATGCTAAATTTTTAGCCTTGATAAAGTTTCTCCTCATTTCATTAGATCTCTAATTAGCGAGTCCAGCTAGTCACAGATATTCAAATTTTCCGTACATTTCGTAAGATAGCTTCATTCTTCACTACTTCTTAGCACTAATTCTAAGATCCATCCAGATCAAATCTCGCTAAATAACATATCAAATCTTATCGCCTCTATGACATATTTTCCCAAAAGATTTTTTGTAAGCACATCGGACTTAAACCGTTCGTAAATTTGTGTGACAAAAAATTAATCTTGGATTTATGGATTATGTTATTCCTTTGTCTTCAACATTACCGAATGCACGTGTTTAAAGTGCTAATAACCAGTAAACCTCGTCTTAAAAAACTCGTTTCTGATTTTTGCATGTGTTTCTGCTTTTTATAACACCCTTACTATAAGTTTCTCTAAATGTGACTCAATTCTCTAATCTCACCCAAATTTTGAGTGCACCTTACCTAAATAATCCAACTTAAGTTCAACACACATCACTCCAGCGTTTCTAAATCCGTGTCAATTTATCTAAACAGGTACTTTTACATGATGTACAGCCAGTAAGAGATAGAAAAGTTTCGAGATATTTCATTTAAATGTAGGAATTTTCAAAGCTAACTTCAGATTACTGTTTCTCCCCTTTCAGAACAAACTTCTGTGAAATATCTTTTTCAACACAACTGTACGTATCTATCAAACTAATTAGTAAATATCACCACTATAACTAACTGTTAAATAGTATTATGGATGTGCAGTTGTGTGATACTTCATTTACTGATGAGGTAATGTATCATTTAATCATGTACTAAGGATTATAAGGTAAATAAAGGTGTTACAAACTGTTTGGGAGGTACAAATGCGGAAGATTTTGATCAAGAGGTTTCAAATGTGAACTCAAACACAAATGTGCGTACTGGTATGGAGTTCAAGGGGAAGCGCTCCGTCATAAAAGAGAGGCGTTTTGTGATAAACGGTTAGTATATTTGTCATTTACAAATATATATATATATATATATATATATATATATATATATATATATATATATATAGTTGAATTTTTCACATAATACATTTTGGTTTCTTTTTTTTCTCCGGTGAATTAAAGCCTAGGATTATGGCCTTGCAATAGCTAGTAGTTTCAAAATGTTTTGTTCGTTCAGTCTGATCACAATTTCGTTTAAAGACCAGCTTGGGCCTGGCAGGCTTACCCCAGAGATTTTTAAGGATTGTGGTCCAGTTTTAGCAGTTAGATTGACTAAGATCTTAAGTTAGAATCTGGGAACTAGGCATAATCCCATCTGACTGTTCTCAATCGCTGATTGTTCCTGTCTAAAAAAGGACAGAAATCCTCTTGTGACAATCACAGAGGAATCAGTCTAACTAATATAGTATATAAAATATTGGTCTCAATAATACTCCGACGCTTAACGAAAGCTCGTGAAGAGCAGACTAGAGAGAACCAAGCTGGTTTTCGACCTGGACGTGGATGTATAGACCAAATATTCACACTACGTCAGGTCTTCGAACAAAGACACTCATTCGGACGCCCCACAATGGTAGTATTTCTCGACATTAAGTCGGCATTTGACTCTGTCGATCTTGAGGTTCTATGGCAGTGTCTGTCATTTAAAGATGTACCAAAGAAGTACATTAACCTTATACAAGCTCTCTACTAGAACACTACTGGTCGATTTAGAACTTATTATCACCTTCTAAGCACAAAGTACTTTTACAAAACTGACAAGGTCCTGAACGTGCACTCATTCTTGGTAGCGAGCAGATAGGAGTAGTTGCAAAGTTCATTTAGCTGTGTAGGTGCTGGTGGTGCCTTGACTGATGATACCAGTTCACGTATAGTGAAAGCCAGAGCATATTGTCTCAGTCTGAACAATCTTTGGCTCCTTCATGATTTTAGTTTATCTGTAAAAGGTCGGATCTCCAACGTGTCAGTGAGAGTAATTTCACTCTATTCTTGCGAAACGTCTCTAAATGAAAGATTGCCGACATTCAGTGGCAACGCCATGTTAGTGATGCGGAGGTTCGGCAATATATGTTCGGCCACAGCAACGATAATACCATGTATGTCAGCACCTTTAAAGTATTGACTTTAGGGCTCGGACATACAACACGAATGACATCCCAGCGAATTCCACATCGTGTATCATTCGTCATGGCTAGGAGTGGTTGGAAAAATCGGAGAGGTTGTCAGTGTATAACATAGTATCGTGGTATCGGAGGTAGCTGTACAGGACTGGCATCTGTTGGTCCTTCACGTCTCCCTGGTTGAGGCTCTAGAGATTTGTGCGAATCACCGGCTTGGGACGTTATCATACATGGATCAAAAGTGTAGTCAGTGGGTCTTGCTGTACTTTTATATCGACTTCACATAATTAGGAGTAACTTCTGTAACTGAAAGGATTCTTGCTGATTGTATTATTTTTAATTGAATCATTCATCAACTATTATTGTTTCACTCACGCACACTAATTTCTATCCATTTTTTGTTATACTCACTGTTATTTCTCTATTTCTTTACATTTTATTGTATGTCGCTTATATATTTTGGTGCCTACTTGTACCAATATATGTTTTAAATAATAAAGTAATCATAAATGAGTACGTCAGCCATGCATTGAAATATATATTTTAGAGATATATTTGTAGCTTTACAACTTTCTTTGTTCCTTTTACAATTGGGTTTTGCATTCATGCTTATGAAGAATCCCAAAACATTATTATATAATGGCCATTTAATGATATAGGTGTGATAAATGTCGCGGAAAATGTCATGAAGGATATCCAAACTAGTGATCTTATTTTGCTTCATGTACAAAATATTGTTTTTTTCGGAATAAAACAGCGCTTCTCGGTTTGAAAAGTTCTCACTTTATCTCCCTGACCTTTGAAATCACATTTTAAACCGATCAAACATTTGTATTAGCTTGTATAGATTATAACTTTTTACAAACTATATTATTCTTAACAACAGATATGGTTGAAACAGTTGATTTTGGTTTACTTCCTGAGGGTTGGCTTCAACTACGTCATATTTCTGGACTTAATGTATATCTGCACAGATCTAGCCGAGTGGTGACACTTTCCAGACCATACTCTATCGGACCAAGTAGTGTACGTCATCATCGGATTCCAGTATCGGCTATTCCATGTTTAGCTTATCGTAAAGCTAGTGGACAAACTTTCCACCCAACTGAATCTCAAAAGGTAAATTTTGATGATTGTATCAATGTACTTTAGTAGTTGCCTATTTTTATTACCTTGGATTAAGAAAGCGTACAGTATGGATCGCTGTCCGGTGACTTTTCGATCTGTAAGAGTTATCCTAAAAGTTATACCTGACTCTCCACACAGCTATCCATTTAAAACTCACGAGTTCATTTATATTTCATAATTTTTTCATTTCCCTTTCGTGTTGCGTTTAACACTATATTGTGAATATTAATTTGACTTTGAAAGGTGCGATTCTCATCATGTTTTCCGCAATACATAGTCTCTGGTTATATATGAAATGCATAAGTATGTGGTTCTGTTTTATAAATTCACATTGAGCGTTTTGACCTTCACTTATACTGAAAGTAAAAGTTTCCCCAGAGGTCATAAGGCTTTTCCACTTGAAGCAACTCGCACATTACTAGGTACGTGCAAATGCAAATACTAAGTTATGGATTGTACTTGCATGGGTGCTTAATATAGAGTGAATAGAGAGTTTGCAACTCTGTTCTTAAATTAAAACATTTGGCGCACTATACTTATTTTCACCCTACCTTTCAGTTTTTTTCGATATTTTATATATTTATTCACCACACAAATTATTGAATTTATGAATAGCCTGAGCTACTGCTCGGATGCCATAAACCCTTATCCTTTGACCCAGATGTCTTGTTTACAAGATAGCGGAGCAACGTTAGGAGTTGTAGTCCCATTAAATCCGGGAACCAACAGTAGGTCCTTATGCCATTCATTTACCCAGGATCCTGGAGTGCATGTTCACCACCGTTTTAAAGTCAGGGTTTTTTTAACTCCCCTAAATAAATTATCCATTTTCACCGACCTGGTTAAAGCGATAAACATCGGCTTTTTTTCCCTCACTTTCATAAACAGCACTCCTACAAGTAGTAAACAGTGAGTAGGACTTTCCTGACAGTGGTCTTACCCGCGTGGTCATGTGAAATGGTTTTTGGAGGGAAGGCGGACTCTTCTCACTCTCGGTCATACTCATCCTATTATATTGACTATGCTGTTAAGAGGCTTGTTGATTATCTCGCTTTCGCAACTATTCATCTACATAATCACAGAACCTCAGATAAGTAAGATCAGTTTTAAAAAATGAATAGCAAAGTTCAAATAATTCCAGCAGCAATAACAGTAATATTGAATCAACATCAAAAATATAGTTTGAGAAAACAAGATAAAAATGTATGCGGGAACAATGAAGCTCAAGATTTAAAGAAAGATAAATTGTGAATTTATCTGCGCCACTGTGAATTATTTCGAGTCATGTCGCTCAAAATTTTCAACTGTTGTTCACCGTTATCAAGTGGACCCCAATGGAGTAGTCCGAATCTGCTTATATGGCTCAGACCAACAGACAGTGATCTCATCCACTGATGTCGCGTTTTAATATGACCACCAAACCTAATGATAAAGAGTAATAATGTTAAACGTACTGTAAAATATAGAAATTCCTGGATCTGTTCTAAATGTTGTTGTAGTGACCACGAACGGACAAGTTAGGACAGTGAATACACATTGTAATGTAGTTGAAGTAAAACAACGTGCTCATTTATGTACAATGCAATTGTCGCTTCATACGAGCTTTAAATCTATTATGACTCAGATGGATTTTTATAGCTCAGCATACCGCTCCTGAGAAAGTTCATTTTATGTGTAACAAACTCTGTTTTGCAAGTAGCCTTCGTGTTATCTAGAACAAACTAATTAGTTACAAAATTAACATTGGAATGGATTTATTTGAGTCGGTTATCGCGTTGACGTCATAATATTTAGCACGAGCACCATAGACTTATCAATGTTATTCAGGAAAATTTCTGTGAATAATCACAAATCGTTTACACAATAATACAGACCCGACGCACTTCAAATTTTGGATAGATGCATTGCTCGTATATCCTGGGACCATCGAGTAAGCAATGCTGCCGTTAGGAAACGCGTATTAGGTAAGCTTGGCAGATCAATAGATGAAGTATTGAAGCTTTATCAGTGGAGGTAGTTGGGACATGTTTTACTTATGCGCCCAACCCCCGACTACCTCGACGAGCTATGTTTTGTGATGTAGGGGTAAGCTGGAAGAAAGCTAGGGGCGGCCAAACCAAAACATGGCAAAAATCGATGAAGTCACTGACAAAAGGACTGATCCATGTTAATAGGTGTACACCTGGTTGGAGTCCGCAATAAGGTAGTAACCGACGGTTAGGGACATGGCTCGAAATTGGCCCAGGTGCATCTATTCTTTGTCTTCTCTCAAACTGTAATCTTCTGAACTCCTCATGACATATTTTTCTCTTTTTTTTTAAAATGATTCAACTGAGATATACTTCTTGAATCATTTCATTGATCCCTATTCCTTTTTATTACCGCTAATACTTTTACTACCTGTACTACTGTTAGAGCTGAATTGACAGTTTAATCTCTCTGTGTTAATGTAGTATAGCAAGTTGAACTGATGTACATACGCACGAACTTCTACGTTATAGCTGACTGATATTCAGACAGAAAGCCTTTACTTTTGATAATTCTGTTGAACTTTCTTTCTCGCAGAATGCTTGTTCTTTCTATATCCACCGTCTCTAGTATGTTGAGCGTTATAATAGCAATGGAATCAACACCAGTTTTCAAATAAAATTCGATAAAATTTCCTGCTTAACCATTGAAGCACAGATTTCTAGACATATGTTTGCATATTATATTTTCCAGTCAGATAGTAACTGAATACCTTACAGTGCTCGAATCAATTCATTTGGTTAATTCCATGTAGCATGAAATCTATTATCTATTCAGTTGATCGTCGATCCTGAAATTGAATTGATAACATGATGTCCGTGTGTGTGTATGCGTATGGTACTAGTGATAATAGTATTTATATGTAATTGTCATAACACCGAAAATTATAATCGACTATGATCTTCACCTTTAATTATTATTTTCATTCATTGCGTTATATGTTTAAAGGTTCATTCACAATCAACTAATCTAGATAATGAGTTAAATAATAAAACGGTATGTTGTCCATATGAAAAATCGTCAATGAATGTTCCATCTGAAGATATACAAACAGTTCAAAAGTTAGAACCATCTAATGAATCGTTAGAAAATGGAATGTCGGTGATAAACAAATATGAAGATAAGCTACCGATTTCTACTGAAACACTAACTACTAGTGTTTCAGTGTCACTCAGCAATAGTAGAAATGACTCGTGTTCATTACTTGAAAATACTAATCATCATCCTCATGATATTGATATGGTGAAAAGAAAAACTTCTGAAAAAGAAGAAGGTGAATTATCTTCTGGTGACGATGAAAAAGAGAATTCATTCGAGGATGATAGTCAAGCTAAAAAACCAAGAATGAATAATGATGACGATGTTGGTGGAGGTTCAGTCAATTGTTCATCCAATGAAATATCATCTTCACAAAGTTAGAATTTTGTCATTATTTTTTTTTAATTGTAATTTTCCTTATTTTATCTCAGAAAATACATATTAATCTTAAGGTTAAGCAAGTTTGGTTTCCAGCCACAGCTAGATAATATTACCTGGATGCCTAATATGAAGTAGATGATTCGAGGTTTGAATCTACCACCTAGTGGCTGAATGGTTGAACTCCTAACTTTTATTTCAATTCACCTAATTGTCTCATATCTTCGATTCTTCAAGGTTAGGTAGCGATTAGTTATATATATATATATATACATATATATATGTATATATGTATATATATATAAACTAAAACTGAACGTGAATTCCCAGTTCCGAAAGTATTATAATGTCTACTAATGCTTATATTTATAAGATGTGAGATTAACAAGAATATGTTGGTGGTAGTAAACTTACTCACTTATTCATGATAGTTTCCTCACATCTCCACTTTTTCCCATGTTCTCCTGAGACAACATGATGTTTGTTAATGTATGTCCAATCTATAACAATGGTAAACTGTTGAAAACCAAAGTTTGCTGAATGAATAATGATGAATATGTTTATTTAACATATAGTGCTCAATGATATTGTTTGACATATGTAGTAAATTTACTATTTTTTGCTTTTGGAAATGAACTTTATTTGTGAAAACAGCATCTTTATAGTTTACATCCGGTGGCTGTTGATTTCGTAATTGGAGCGTCTTAACAATTCCCACTAAGTTATGTGTTATTAATGTGATATTAATATTAAGTTTTTGCAGTATAACATTCGCAATATTCTCAAATTGATTTTCTTAAATCGTGTTGTTTACGAGTTGTATTATATTCTTTCTACTATATTGATTGTAGACTCGCTGCCTAAAGTAGTTGACGAAACAACATCAACAACAACAACAACCACTTGTAATAAATTTGTGTATAACAAATCAACTCATTTCGGAAATAGATATCGTAAGTTTAGACGTGGTAATCTTCTAGTCAAAAGATCTTGTCCGGTAATAACATCAAATATTCAATTATCTGAATCTGATTGTATATCCAACATGCCTACAAATAAACAAAATGAGACATCTGAAACTCAAGAAATTGTTGCTGTTAAAACTCAGGTTAGATGTGAAGAAATATGAAGGTGATTATTGTCTGTTGAGTATTTTTTACTTCTGTTTAGTTTATTCAAAGTATATTTTAACATCGTAGTGACTAGCAAAACAATGGCTTAAAATTTTAGGTATTATTAGTTTCCATTGAAAGCGCATCCGGGATTAGTGGACTCAAAGGCTTATCTTAGACAGCGTCGAAGTGATCGATTCAAATGGCTGAGCAAAAATCACTATGTGGACCAATGAGAAAGATCCTTGTTTACAGTCAGCCAATAAAGTATCAGCAAGGAAGTTGTGCAATAAGCTAATAGTTGCTCATAAACACTATAGCTACAGTAAATAGATATGTGTAAGCTTTTAAAAAAATTATCAAGGTAGACATATTCAAAGTAATTTCCCTCACTGTTTAAGATCATTTTGACTCTACGTTTAATTTTATTTTTCAAGGTATTCTCTATCAAAGACAAAGAAAAAGAATCCCTTTTAACACCTGACGATATCCGTGAATATTGTGGACGTCTTTTTGAAATCAGAGTAGAAGATGCAGTATTTCAAAGGTATTCAAACAGTTGAATGAGTTATGGCATTAAGTTTGACCATGTTATCTCAATTTTACCTTAGATTGTTCTTTACTTTATTGTTTTTATCGATACAAAGCAAACTGTTAAGTCTGCAGTTGAAGTGATTGGTATAGATGATGATCAATAGTAGAATTAGGACACCATAGTTAGTTCCATTGACTCTGGCGTAAGAAATTTGTAGCGAAACGAATTTTTACGCAAATTCACACTAACCTTTGCAAAATGATGCATATATAACAAAATATTAAAGCTCAACAAAAAGTATTAACGAAGGAGAAACTTTGACAAAAGTTCTAATTGATGTAAGAAACGATTTTCTGTGACTGAATTAAATGGTAAAACACTTTTTCAGTACTTCAGATTTTAAAATCAAACTTTTATCTCTTTGTTCGGCTTCAAATTTGTTATATTCAAAGTTTTTCTGAACTGTACATGATATCATAAATCATAAACTGACCAGCTGAAAAGATATTGAAAATACTATTCAATTGTTTTAGTCTCATCTAAAGCTTTCCGTTTTTGTGCAGCCATGATTCCACTCAGGGCCTAACGAATTACTTTCAGATTATGCAGCAAAATTAAAATCCTATTGTTCACATTTATACGTTTGATTTATTCGTGATGTAGTGTTGCGATTTTCTTGTTGTCATATCTTATAAATGTTTGACTTATGATATTGATAAACTTCACCAGTTTCACCCATAATTGCTACCTCTCTGAAGTGTTCAGATTTGCCTATCATGGTAACTCAGTTGATTTATATTGATTGAAACACTTATTCCTTGACTCCCTATTATCCAAATCAGGCTAACTAGAGACTAACGTTAGTAAATTTGGGGTTCAAGAAAGAAGTTAAACACTTCTATGGAGGCAGCAAAGTGTTTCTCATGAATAATCACTACCTTTATGATTCTGCCTTCCTAAAATAGAAGAATCAGTCACAAAAGTTTGACTGTGAGCAGTTTGTCTCATCTTATCCCATGTATTTATAGTGTATTCATTAAGTTTTGATAATTACGCATCTAATGTAGCAAACAGTATTCATAATGAAATTTCTTCGTGACTGGCGTTCAGCGATTTACTTCTAAGCTTTGCGATAACCCTCCCACATCAAGAAAATCATCTATAATAATCTAGTTACGTTTGTTAATCTCTCACACATACATAATTTGAAAGTTGCTTTATTGGGGCACATGCGTAATTATTTAAGCGTCCATGCTTAATACTAGACAATCAGGTATCATATGGAATTATCCACATTTATCAGTATGTCACTTTTCTTCAGCTTCCTGCTGTTTCAAAGCCGTCTAACTGTATTCAAAGTGATTAACTGGAGAGATTAGATTGTCCATCCAAGTTAAACAGTTGTATTGTTTTTTCTTTCCAAAGTCCTCGTTATTGTAACTATCAAAATAATTACTTAATAACAATCTGTTATTCAAAGCATGCACCAAATTTCCTAATCTAGTTTTTATGGAACTGTAACTAAAATTGTCCACCGCACTTCATCACATACCACTTTATGATGGTTTTAGACGCTTCTGTAGTATATTCGACCCTTGAGTTGACATACTAGATTATATCAAGTCACCAAGTTATTATATCACGCTGTGTTCTGTTCCGCTATTGTTGAAGCGTAAAGCAACTCAGATACTGAGGAATTCTGCAGGAACGTGTATTCGTATTACGCGTTTCTATTCCATTCACGTGTACATATGGTGCTCACTTATTGTTGTAAAGTTGCACCACAAAGTATGCCCTTCTCTTTTGTGTTTAGAATTCAATCTGTTATTGGTCGTTTAAACTCTAAACTAAATTTTTAATTTATGAGGTGGTTGGGACATGTGTTACGTATGCCTAACCACCGACTGCCTCGTCGAGCTATGTTTTGCGATATAGGAATAGGTTGGACGAAAGCTAGGGGCGGCCAGACCAGAACATGGCACAAATCTACAAAGTCACTTATTAGTCGACTGAGTCATGTTGGTAGGTGCAGACTACCTGTTTCGGGTCCTTGAGACGAAAGTCACCGATGGTTAGCGATCCTGAGTGACATGGCTCAAAATCGTTTGCAGTGGCTCAGGTGCATTCATTCTTTGTGTTCGCTCAAATCTTAACCTTCTGAATTCCTCATCTTTTTATATTTTGGTATGGCAACTTGAACTGATGTACGTACGTAAGTACGAAGTTCTACGTTGCTCTTGATTGATTGATGTAATTAATTCTTCCTGCTGGAGTCGTTGTGGTTGTTGTTGTTCTATTACAGTCCTGTTTAACATTGATTAGTCTAGCTTTTCTATATAGGTAGTAGTAACAGTAGTGTGCCAGAATAAATTGGATCAATTTAGTTTTAAATGAAAAGCTATTTTATTCTCATATGAGATCTATTTTTTCTGTGTTTACTATTTTTCTTTTGTTTGTTTTTAACAAAGAAATCGTGAAAATCATTGTTCAACAGATCCTACTACTAAAGAATCAGAAGACACTCAGAAACCATTATTGATGATGGTAAGTATAAAAATAGAAATTAATTCAAATGTTTGTGAAACATTAACTTATTTCATTTCTTATATGATAAATAAAAAAGCAACAATCTCACTTTCATTAATGGTTATGTTTTACTGCCTAGTTTATACCTTCGATACATAAAGTTCATTTAACTCTTCTCAAACCGAAACAAGAATTGAAAAAAAAAGATAATTCCAATAAACTTAAACAAAAAAAACTATAAGTTGATATAGAATCTTTTAACATCTCAATCCTCTGATTTATTACAAATGGACTAATCGGTGTATTCTGATTTGAACCTGACCAGAGAATAAGTAATAATCAGGACTGTAATTTTACTTCATGATTTGTTAGCACGATAATGTAATTAATTACTTGATGATCTTGTTATATTAGAATCTGTACTGTTAAAACTAAGTTCTAACTAATTTTTCTGAATATGGTAGATTTTTGTCCAGTTTTATGCTTAGTAACAGTAACCCCTTAAGTTTTGGTTTTAGATAGAGTTATGTTTAAAGAAAGTTTACGACTACGGAGTGAATTGAAGTTAGACTCTCAATCGTGAATGCTTTAGCTTTACTATATATCGTCATTCAAATATGCAAATAAAGTGCACACACAAACTCGGTAACGAGTTATTTTAAATAAATGACAATTTCAAGTCGTTGCAATTGATGAAGCAGACGAAAAATGTTTTTATTATCAAATTTATGAGCACATGTCAGTATAAACTTGATATGTGGTAGCGAAAGTAAATGTCATCAGTGACTAGCTTCGTGAAGAAATTCCCGGAGTTCTAGTGAGAAGCATTGACTTATGTAATACAACCGTGTCGACTATGAGGCAGTTACCACCGAAGACAATGAATGATGATTACACAATATCGTGGATTGATTGAAACTAAACATTAATACCATTAGTAGCCGGCTCACTGGTCCGGTCGCGCGCGAAACCAAAGGTACTGTACTTGATTCACGCATGTGGGGGTCGTGGATGCGCACTGTTGATGAGTCCTATAGTAGGATGAAACAGCCATCCAGTGATTCTAGGTCTCTGATGTCAGTCTAACACTGATCGATCCGCGACTTCAAAGTAAATGTGATTGGCCACTGCGCGTGGAGAATCAGATTCAGTCTACTGGGCATTAAATATGTGATTCTCTGTCCTGTTATTGATTCCCAGTCTTCAGTCGCTGCGTGTCATTACTTTTAGTCGCGTTAAACTAAGTGTTGCCTAGCGTATACTTTGTCGTGATCCGTTGTATGTATGGTGTATAGATAGAGTATCCAGTGTAGTGATAACGAAATCTTGATTATCAGTCCTATTATTGTTTTACAACTATATACCTCAGAAAGGAAATATTTTTATTCTTCCTTTTTATCCGAACTGCGTCTCATAAACTCACATCAATTTCCAAATAGCACAATACCTTAGTACATAAAGTTTTGCTTTATAACTGAGTTGGTGGTCTATCACATTGTCTTTGAACACGGTTTCATACAGTTGCTATATGTTAATAACAATAATGTTAGTCCTGTAAATTCTATTGTCACTTACCATGTGAAGGTTCGTGTCCTTAGCTCTGAGCGGCATTAAACGTATGAAAGGTTGCCCATGTCAAAAATAATAAGACAAAGTTCGAACCTAGGACATACGCTCACTTCGAAACTATATCTTCTTCGAGAATTTTTTATGACCAGAGATATATGCAGTTAACTAGTAATTTTAAAGACAACTAGTGTGGCATTTGCTATCTGGTTAAGAAATAGATTTTCACTGATTGGTTAACATTGTAAAGAATAAACATTTCCAACAAATAAGTTTTGTTAGACCAACAAACTTTACTTAAATTCCACTGATTAATCATAAATTTAAAAAATTCAAGTTTCCGCATAAGACAGGTTACTCTAGTGTATCTTAATGTTCGTCTAACTGTACAATTGTTGAGTATGAAATATCATAAACAAAGTCATAAGACATTGATGGTTATTCATTTGGTGTAGTGTTACCCGACGTCTAATTTAGTCATAACGAGTATATCCCACTTTTAAGTGTTGGTGGAAACTATTTGATTACTGTCGAAAGGAAATTCTTTGAAATTTTAGCAAATCAACCGTTTTACGTACATTATCTAAAGAATGTGCATAGTCACATCATATACATATATTTAAACAGAAAGAGATTGTTTTTGTACGTTTTTATGTTAAATATACTCGATAAAATCCGTTATGTGATCATAGTTAGTCAAAAATTATAATGCATAGTGTAATATATCTCAAACCCAAAAGTATTGTATTGATATTTAGTACAAAATATGTAAGTGAAAGTGTCTAATCTATGATTCATTAATTCTCCTTGCTAGTTAATGCAATTCATCTTCATGTTACTTAGAGATCAGCTGATTTTATAGGTTTCAGTGAACTGACGTAGATAATTCATTTTTATGTAAAATATTTTCTCCTCCAGTTTTCTTATTTCTGATTTAATCATTCTGGATTATTATTTTATTTTTATGTCTGTATTTCAAGTCAGAACAGGCGAAAGTTATTCGATATCAAATACCGTCGGCTGATGGAAACGTTTCGCGAAAGCAACCTAAAGGTAGGTGTTACTAGTCAGTCAGTCAGTTGCAACGTAGAACTTCGTACGTATGTACATAAGTTCATGTTGCCATACCACATTATTAGCACAGAGACGCAAATGTCAAATCAAATCCCATGGTGATAAAGATGGTAGAGGTATTAATGTTATAATAAAGAAGACTAGGGTTTGAAGATATTATTCAAAAAATATAATTCAGTGAGATAAGGTTAGAAAGACAAATATAAAGGTGCTGACGAATCCAGAAGATTAGGATTTGAGAGAGCTCAAAGAGTGGATGCACCTGCGCCATTGCAAACGATTTTGAGCCATGTCGTTCAAGGTCTCTAACCATTGATGACTTTCGTCTCGCGGACCCCAACCAGGTAGTCTACATCTACCAACATGACTCAGTCCACTTGTCAGGGACTTCATGGATTTCTGCCATGTTTTGGTCTGGCCGCCCCTAGCTTTCTTCCAACCTACTCCTACACCACAAAACATAGCTCGTCGAGGCAGTCGGTGGTTAGGCATACGTAACACATGTCCCAACCACCTCAACTGATGAAGTTTCACCACTTCATCGATTGATCTGCCATCCTTACCTAGTACTCGTTTCCTAACGACAGCATTGCTTACTCGGCTGTCCCACGATATACGAGCAATGCTTCTTAAACATCTATGATCGAATACTAGTAACCTACGAACATCTTCTACTCTTAACGGCCATGTTTCACAGCCATATAAGAGAACGGAACGAACTGCTGCGCAGTACACCCGCCCTTTGGTTAGCGAACGGATATCACGCCTACGCCATAAGTGACGCAGGTTGGCAAAAGCCAATCGAGCTTTCTGTATCCGAGCTGAGATTTCGTCAGTCACCAGACCGTCAGCACTGATGAGACTCCCCAGATAAGTGAAGTGATCTACACGCTCGACTACTTCACTCCCTATCACTAGTTCAGGTGCCGAAGCAACCCAGTCTTGAAGCAACATTTTGCATTTCGAGGGGGAAAACCGCATCCCGAACATGCTCGCATTGTTGCTTATGGTAGTCAGAAGACTAGAGTTCATTGTTAATATTAAATTCCTTTCCTTATCCAGATTAAGTATTTATGCGATAAGAATTTCAAACACGAGCATTGGAAAATGTTCACAATGTATCTGGTTTGAATCATTTGCCGGGCTATTGCACTCTTTAGAGCCGTACTTGTCAGTCTCAAATTCTGAGGAATGTGTTCAGAAATGTGGGCCTGTACTCTTCTCTCTGTTCTACCATTGCATGTGCTTTCGCCACTCCTTTTGTTTTTATTTGAACTCTGTCTTTACATGACCTCAATCTTGTTCACTCACAAATAATAATAATAATAATAATAATAATAATAATAATACGTATAGTTATTATAATTAATCTTTCCTAATTTAATCCCGTCTGTTATGAATGTCAATTACTTCACATTATATCATACATCATTGTTACATACCATTACAGATATGGTTGTAAGCAGCTGAGGAGCAACCACGAAATGTGGTGAATTCACATTATTCTGCTTCAATTGTTGTCCTAGCTTTTTTAAATTCCAAACGCAAACAGACTGCATCGGACCTCAGCTATGTGATCTATTTATATATACTCTATTTGATTCCTAAATATCTTCATGTCCGTTCCTGAGTGGCGTAATGATTACACATTTTCAAGTATCACTAGACCACGATAAGATTACTCCGTAATTCTGCAAAATTTTAAGTGATTTCCTAACATACAGCAATCTGTACCATGTATGAATGAAATTTTATACTTGATCAAATCCTCATCCTATGTAACTTTCTCTTTTTTTTCGTAAATCTATCTAATTTGGTATATTTCTCCTAGAGGGTATGATCAATATGACTGGTAAATCATATGTATGCATTCTTCATGAATATTGTCAAAATGTTATACGTCGTCCACCGACATATCAGACAACAGTTCTTGAAAATGATAAAAATCCCTATCAAATGACTGTGTTTATTAATGGTAATCCATATGGAACTGGTACAGGACAAAGTAAAAAGTGTGCAAGATTAGAAGCGGGTACGTTTTTATTTTTGTTGAATTCTGAAGACTATTCTTGTATTAAAGCCAGCAGAATTATGTACATAACAGACATGAAAGTTTTGAGTAGTCATGTTACCAGATACATCGACACTGTTGCATGACTCAAACATTCTTGTTAGAATGAATGATGATTTTTGAGATAAACTTAATTGTTAAGTATTTTGTGCATATACTTAGTAATTATCTCGAAACTTTACATCCTGTTTGTTAAAATAGACTGCTCGAGTAATAATCTTGGATATAATGGGAATTTATCTGCTAATTTTATCCTTCCTATGTTCTCAATCTTTAAAAACTGTACATTCTCTTAAAATAATTATATAATGTTTGCTTTCTCTTATTTTATGTAGCTCGTAAAGCACTGGAAGTTTTAATTCCTGACTTTCAAAAGATTGTTTGTAACAATTCACATCAAACAGGTCCAGTGGTTGCCTCTGATCGTGATATGCAATTGTTCGATTCCGTTTCAGTAACTGATCCACGTTTGTATGAATTATCTGTACGTATGGCATTACCTACTCCATATAATTTACTTGTTGAATGTTTAAGTCGAAGTTGTGTTCCAGAGTCTGATTTAAAATCAAATATGATATCTCAAGGACGCAGTAAACATTTTTTCACTTTACAGTTGAGAGAACATACTGTTAAGGTAGGCTTTATACTGTTCTAATAATAATATTTATATTATGAATAATTTATTTATAACTTTAAAAAGGTCATTCATGAAATGAAGTCACATCTATACTCAATGAATTTGAAAGTCGTTGCAAGAGGGGAAATGTTAATTAGTAGTATGTTTATTAGTATCCCATACTCGCTAAACTCCTTAAGTGAAAAAAACACTGTTAGTGGGACATAGATGGATTAAAGCATGACTGCGCTAGCTGCGCGCTGATTGGCTAAATCTAATCCGGTCAACGCTAGTCAATCACGTGGATTACATTCCAGAAGCTTCTCATGTAAAAACTATAAGGCTACTAACGTTGTATCTATTTTACCTTCGCCTTCGCCGTTGGTTTCTTATTTCTATTTAACCTTGCTATTTGGAATATAATCTTTTCCCGTTCGACCGTGTTCTGATTTTTCGGAACTTGTCCAGTGTATTGTGGTCAGACAATACCAAGCAATAGGGATTAGCTGGGAACTATTAAGCGAGCGCTACAGCACACACGATACTATTTTTAAACGTTTTTTATAACTATATGTCATCCAGTTTTATGAGTCGTAGGTAGACCATAGAATTTCTATAAGTAGAGACCTCTTGGTCTTAAACATTCACTAGTTGATTCGTCTGTTTTTTCCCTTATAACCTAACTAATATTCTTCTCGGTTATGTTTGCCTTGTTTGTCTATAGGGAAAGTTTCAGTATCATCTTGTACTTTATACATTTCTGTGTGACATTACTGTTCATTTAAATCTCCTAAACCGGAATCTTCATTACGCTCTTATGACAATACTCCATTTGTTATCAGCTCAGGTGCGAATAGATATAAAGGAGCTACTTGTGTGGTAGCATATTGTTTTGTTAGATTCAGAAACGTGACTTTGAATTAACCTTTCACCTCTTTGAAAATAGGCTTTCAATCGGACAGCTGATTATACATGTATATTACACATTAAATTACCCTTGTAAAATATATTTTTATTGCGCCAAGTTCATGCTTATGTAGAACATATAAAACGAATAATTTTTATTAAAATTAACCATTTCAATCATCATAGGTTAGATGTAAAAACAAAAGAGAAGGTCGTCATTTATCTGCTCAACATCTTTTAGCTCGTCTTCATCCTGAAGTGAATACCTGGAGTGGTCTTTTGCGTATGTATGGTCCAGGCAGTAAACCAGACAAACGAAATGAACTAGAAACAATACAAGATGCACAAATTCAACAAAAATCTGCTGTAAAAGCTAGTTTAATTCGTTTACTGAAAGCTAAAATGAGTGAATTAGCTGACCAATGGGTAAATAATTGGTTTGTATAAAGGCTTTTTTGTAATATATTGCTTTTAAAATAATTTCATTTATTTTTAACTCCAAATCTTGATTTTTAAACACTTCAGTTGTTGAAGTCATTTACACCCAGAGTTTTCTATCTTGTATATTATGGTTATTTTTTATCAATCTATATATATTTTTGGTTTGTCTTTTGAAGTCTTTTAATTTAAATACATAAGTCTCTGGCTTACCATCACACTCTTATCTAGATTACGATGTGATTGTCCAAAAATAAGGAACACTAGTAGTATGTTTTTCAAAGACTTAATTAATGCTGTTATTTATTTGTTGTATAGAATTTCTTAACTATAACTAATCCCGAATGAATAGATGTATATTTCAGAAAATTCAGTTTCATCACATTCCTTTTCTTTGTATTTCTACGTTCTTACACCTTACGCCTCACTTTAAATGGTCTAATAAGCTTTCATAATCAAAATATTACTTCACTGATAGCTGTTTTTTTTTAAAAGAATAACACACACAAACACACGATGGGAATACCGAAACTACACGTTTTGTGAAGGCGTCATCTTTCTCTTTCGACTATATTCTTAACCGTCTATTTATTTCCATTCATTGTGTCGGTATAGTAGTTAATACTTAGTGGTGATCATAGTCACCACGTAACACTATTAACGGCGAAACACAAAAATTATTGCGATGTCATTTGTTTGCGGTACAGATTGCCAATTACTATCTGTATCTGTCTCGCAATCTCCAGGTTCAACAAACTAATAATGCTGTTGTTAGACGCGAAGGAAAAATATCGACTATTCCCGAAGCTCACATTGAGTCCTAAGGCACTCTTTGATGATGCAGCAAACAATCAGGTCGACATTACGAACGAATGACAGACCGTGAATTTATCGCAAGCGCAAACCTAAAAAATTTGGACATTCATATCAGTGCATGATCTGGGTATTCGTTACTGCAGAAGCCTCACATTTGAAGATTATGCCTTCACTGTGATCTCTCAATCGAGACGGTCAATCGGGTTTATAACAAACGACTTCTTGACTAATGAGACTTACACTCCTCGAAATGCGTATAAGGCCTTCACTTGAATACTGATCACTAATCTTTTCAAACGTCAATATCGCAGACAAGATACGAATAGAACGAATCCAAAGAAGCTTCACTTGGAGACTCACAGAATAGAACAGTAATCTAGACCACACAGAGAGATGCAAACATCTCTACGTAGAACATATATGGCGCCGTCGGTTGAAAAACAACCGAATACTCCACTATAAAATAATGTATGACATCTCGATTGTAAAATACCGCTCAAATACGAGCCAATAAACTGCTTACAGACTAAGAAACTACGCATGTGCACTTGTAGTGGAACACTAGTACGGAGGAATCGCAGTTAATGAGAAGAAAGCAATCAATATTTTACTGGTTTTGTTCAACTGTACTAAAAACACTTACTTACGCCGAACCTTCTTTTTTCGCGTTGCCGCCATCATTCATAACTTGCTGCTCGTCGTGTGGCCCTCTTTCTCTTTCGACTATATTCTTAACCGTCTATTTATTTCCATTCATTGTGTCGGTATAGTAGTTAATACTTAGTGGTGATCATAGTCACCACGTAACACTATTAACGGCGAAACACAAAAATTATTGCGATGTCATTTGTTTGCGGTACAGATTGCCAATTACTATCTGTATCTGTCTCGCAATCTCCAGGTTCAACAAACTAATAATGCTGTTGTTAGACGCGAAGGAAAAATATCGACTATTCCCGAAGCTCACATTGAGTCCTAAGGCACTCTTTGATGATGCAGCAAACAATCAGGTCGACATTACGAACGAATGACAGACCGTGAATTTATCGCAAGCGCAAACCTAAAAAATTTGGACATTCATATCAGTGCATGATCTGGGTATTCGTTACTGCAGAAGCCTCACATTTGAAGATTATGCCTTCACTGTGATCTCTCAATCGAGACGGTCAATCGGGTTTATAACAAACGACTTCTTGACTAATGAGACTTACACTCCTCGAAATGCGTATAAGGCCTTCACTTGAATACTGATCACTAATCTTTTCAAACGTCAATATCGCAGACAAGATACGAATAGAACGAATCCAAAGAAGCTTCACTTGGAGACTCACAGAATAGAACAGTAATCTAGACCACACAGAGAGATGCAAACATCTCTACGTAGAACATATATGGCGCCGTCGGTTGAAAAACAACCGAATACTCCACTATAAAATAATGTATGACATCTCGATTGTAAAATACCGCTCAAATACGAGCCAATAAACTGCTTACAGACTAAGAAACTACGCATGTGCACTTGTAGTGGAACACTAGTACGGAGGAATCGCAGTTAATGAGAAGAAAGCAATCAATATTTTACTGGTTTTGTTCAACTGTACTAAAAACACTCACGTACGCCGAACCTTCTTCTTTCGCGTTGCCGCCATCATTCATAACTTGCTGCTCGTCGTGTGGCCCTCTTTCTCTTTCGACTATATTCTTAACCGTCTATTTATTTCCATTCATTGTGTCGGTATAGTAGTTAATACTTAGTGGTGATCATAGTCACCACGTAACACTATTAACGGCGAAACACAAAAATTATTGCGATGTCATTTGTTTGCGGTACAGATTGCCAATTACTATCTGTATCTGTCTCGCAATCTCCAGGTTCAACAAACTAATAATGCTGTTGTTAGACGCGAAGGAAAAATATCGACTATTCCCGAAGCTCACATTGAGTCCTAAGGCACTCTTTGATGATGCAGCAAACAATCAGGTCGACATTACGAACGAATGACAGACCGTGAATTTATCGCAAGCGCAAACCTAAAAAATTTGGACATTCATATCAGTGCATGATCTGGGTATTCGTTACTGCAGAAGCCTCACATTTGAAGATTATGCCTTCACTGTGATCTCTCAATCGAGACGGTCAATCGGGTTTATAACAAACGACTTCTTGACTAATGAGACTTACACTCCTCGAAATGCGTATAAGGCCTTCACTTGAATACTGATCACTAATCTTTTCAAACGTCAATATCGCAGACAAGATACGAATAGAACGAATCCAAAGAAGCTTCACTTGGAGACTCACAGAATAGAACAGTAATCTAGACCACACAGAGAGATGCAAACATCTCTACGTAGAACATATATGGCGCCGTCGGTTGAAAAACAACCGAATACTCCACTATAAAATAATGTATGACATCTCGATTGTAAAATACCGCTCAAATACGAGCCAATAAACTGCTTACAGACTAAGAAACTACGCATGTGCACTTGTAGTGGAACACTAGTACGGAGGAATCGCAGTTAATGAGAAGAAAGCAATCAATATTTTACTGGTTTTGTTCAACTGTACTAAAAACACTTACTTACGCCGAACCTTCTTTTTTCGCGTTGCCGCCATCATTCATAACTTGCTGCTCGTCGTGTGGCCCTCTTTCTCTTTCGACTATATTCTTAACCGTCTATTTATTTCCATTCATTGTGTCGGTATAGTAGTTAATACTTAGTGGTGATCATAGTCACCACGTAACACTATTAACGGCGAAACACAAAAATTATTGCGATGTCATTTGTTTGCGGTACAGATTGCCAATTACTATCTGTATCTGTCTCGCAATCTCCAGGTTCAACAAACTAATAATGCTGTTGTTAGACGCGAAGGAAAAATATCGACTATTCCCGAAGCTCACATTGAGTCCTAAGGCACTCTTTGATGATGCAGCAAACAATCAGGTCGACATTACGAACGAATGACAGACCGTGAATTTATCGCAAGCGCAAACCTAAAAAATTTGGACATTCATATCAGTGCATGATCTGGGTATTCGTTACTGCAGAAGCCTCACATTTGAAGATTATGCCTTCACTGTGATCTCTCAATCGAGACGGTCAATCGGGTTTATAACAAACGACTTCTTGACTAATGAGACTTACACTCCTCGAAATGCGTATAAGGCCTTCACTTGAATACTGATCACTAATCTTTTCAAACGTCAATATCGCAGACAAGATACGAATAGAACGAATCCAAAGAAGCTTCACTTGGAGACTCACAGAATAGAACAGTAATCTAGACCACACAGAGAGATGCAAACATCTCTACGTAGAACATATATGGCGCCGTCGGTTGAAAAACAACCGAATACTCCACTATAAAATAATGTATGACATCTCGATTGTAAAATACCGCTCAAATACGAGCCAATAAACTGCTTACAGACTAAGAAACTACGCATGTGCACTTGTAGTGGAACACTAGTACGGAGGAATCGCAGTTAATGAGAAGAAAGCAATCAATATTTTACTGGTTTTGTTCAACTGTACTAAAAACACTTACTTACGCCGAACCTTCTTTTTTCGCGTTGCCGCCATCATTCATAACTTGCTGCTCGTCGTGTGGCCCTCTTTCTCTTTCGACTATATTCTTAACCGTCTATTTATTTCCATTCATTGTGTCGGTATAGTAGTTAATACTTAGTGGTGATCATAGTCACCACGTAGAAGCGTTCCACTACAAGCTCATGCAACCGATGTTTTCTAAGCGAAATATTCTTTTCCATTTCCGGTAATCTTGGCTTGATTACATAAAAAAAGCAAACTATTAACAGCATAAGAAAAACCGACTTTCACACGTGACTTGACTGCCCAGGTTGTTAAATAGTACATTCGAATCTCTTTTCAGGTCAAGTGTATGAAAGCCAGAACTAAATAATGAAAACAAGGTGGTTTCACTGGCTGATATACACGAGTAATTATCTGTGTGTGACTCCAGAAACGTGAGGACAGAAGAAATAGTTATTACTAGGAACATGTTTTTGACGAGGTGAAGTAATGAGTTCGTTTGAGAGTTTTTAAACTTGTTGTCTTCTATATGATGTTGAAAATTTACTTTTAACAATGAAATGCTTTACCTGAAGTCGCTCAGTGAGTAGGTATAAGGATAATAACGGCTGTAAATTGATGACCTGCATTCTGATGGATTGAAATCACTTATACCATATACAATTGTTCTTAATTTCAATTTATGTGGTGGGTATGTGCAGTACATTGGTATTATATCTAGAAGCATCACGTTATCGATAACTGTATACTAACCACGAATGGTCAGACAGATTGAATATTTGTTTGGAAGGCAAGAAAGAGTTGTATTCCTTTTTGGTCACAAAAAAGCGTGATTTATGTTATTTACAAGAGGTTCTCTCGACTTTGCCAACTGGTGGTGTTGGACCAGAGTTTTCTTAGCTGACTGCTGGTTATTCGATTTATCAGTAGCTATTAGTGGTGACCGAGTCGATATTGACCATGATCACCACTAAATGTTTCATACTATGCCGTCACTCAAATAAAAATAAATTCATGCTTGAGTATTTTATGGAAGGAGAAAGTAGGCATTACATAGGAAGCGACGAGTTAAGAAAAATGGCAGCACCGCGAAGAGAACGTTTTTGGTACAGTTAAACAGAACGAGTGCAATAATAAATGCTTATTTTTCACCAATCGCATTTTCTTCGTAGAAGTGTTCCACTACAAGCTCTCAAACATGTCCTAGTGATAAACACGAGCCCCAGTTAAGCGTAGTCCTCCTTTGATTCTTAGTCCCTGGAAAGAATTACGCTCGTTTAGGCCAATTCGGTATTCATTAGTCATTTTATCCGCTCATCGTATATCAGCCACTCAAAGTAATTTCCTCTAGACAGAGTCCCAAATATTGCCTCCACAGATTTTTCAAAGATTCAGTCTTGAGGCATTTAGTCAATTCTGGTCGCTCCACATAACGAAAAATCACTTTCCAATTCATACGTGTAGTTAGAACATTCGGTTGAAGATCTATGTGATTTAAAATCTCATATACGACATTGGCTATTCACCAGCTATTGCCCATCACTTACGTACAGTATAGGATTTATTCGTGCTTTCATCCCTTCATGTTCTTTACTTTCCTTTCTGTCTCATATAACATACCTTTTATTCCACCTTTTACATTTGATCACTTATGTTTATACTTCCTCTGTATTGTTTTCACATTCATTAGTTTGACAGTTATATGAATTTCTATTATTACTGCTGAGGAAACTTTCAAGTTGACAATAATCTTATCACTATTTACTTGTCGACTACTGTGTAAGTTCCGTTTATTGACCGGTTTTTATAGATAAATTGTGATATAACATAAACTATATTTTACTTTGTTTAACTTAAGACTGTGGTGATTTCATTTTTCCGAGGAAAACGAATTGGTTAAATAGAAACATTGAATATTCTAGCCAGTTGTACCAGTGGAGGTTTTGCTCATTCGTACGTTCGTACAACAATTTCGTTTTTGCTGCTCAGTAACTTCTCACCCATTTTCTCTGCACGATTTCGGTATTCTTTTGATACCACAAAATCACCAGCAAATATATTCATTCATCTGGACTATCCCAGGGTAAAAGAGACTTTTACTCGCTGAACTTCCCTAATTTTTTCAGATGCACAGTAAGCCTAATGAGAATATGTTAAGTCTTCTAGAATAGCCGTTGTATCCGGTTGACAAATGTAGGGGCAGGAAAACGTCACCATCTTCTAACCCAAGAATCTAGATAGCCGGTCACAGGGTATCAAACAGCTTATTCAAACTCAATAACATCATTGGTAACAAAAACCCACCACTGGGTTGCACACCGTGGAACAACCTATACGGTAGTAGTCTGCTCTGTTTATTCTACCTACTCTTACTCAAACAGTGCCGTAAGTAATTACGTTTTTTTCAGATCGTAATTGTGGAAACCACAGTCCCTCGTTTAGGACACAAGGTGACTTCGATTTTAGCTAGAATTACACGAAAAATACGTCCAACCCAAGTAGACTCGACTGTCAATACAAATCACTTACAAACTGTATTGAAAAAAACGGCACTGAGATCTAATTAAACATATTCAGATAAACGAAATCATTTAGATATTTTCTACACATGTGAAATCTGACGGTCGCCTAAATGGCTGACAACAAATTAACCAGTCTGTTGTTGATTCCACATGTAGTTGTTAGGTATTTGTGTCAGACATCGTAAATGAAGTTCTAAAAAAATTCATGCAAGGAATCTGAAACGAAAAATTAATGTTATGTGCAGAAATCACTACATGCGCCCTTTGAATTTAGCAGTTTTATGGACTTGGAACATTCACACTTATTGCGCGTGGAGTTAAGTATCTGCGCTTCGCGATCCCTACTAATTTCCTTCCAATGTTCCAGTTCCCCCCGGAGCAAAGTAGAGTATCAGCCGTTGAATTGAAAAGAATGGCGACAGAGCACTTCCGTAAAGAACTAGGCAGTTTCGCAATCTCGGTTGCAGCCATTTTCATAGGTAATATCTAAAATTAATTGTTTGCTAATGCTTGTAGTGGGTTTGGTTTTCACGAACAAATAATATTGTAATTTTTGAAATTCTTATCCCGAATAAATCAATGTTTCAAAGATATTTTCTGTTTCTTGTAACTAAGAAGTTAACCTGGTGAATACTCAGACATATATTAGGTTAGGCCAAAAAATTGACAGTCCATAATTGTAGTGTCGACATCAATATGCTTACTACCTGAATATTGTATCTAGTACATATTTCAGTCCAGTTTCGGAAAACTAGTTCAATCGACTTCATACTTAGTATTTCTGGATCATTTTAGTTTTTACGGACTAGCAAGATGACGTTAGCGCTTGTCGATTATCCATGTCAGCAAGCAAAGTATGACTCGTAGCTCAGTTCAGTAACCACGTTTCCTTAATCTAGTCTTAGATGGGAGGATGATTGTTGAATCCATGTTAGGTGCATTTTCTTGAATTTTGGATATCATATCAGGTCAAGTTCACGTCTTCTTTCGCACATTGATACGTACTGAAGAATCCTTACGTCTGTCATCATTATCCCAAGTTGAACGTTTATTGATATTTGAGCACAATAAACTAGCAGTTATTGTGGAATATTTAGTTAAGTAATGTAGCCATACAATAGAAATTTTTTGGAGACATTTCTGGTCATTTGCCTAAGCTTTACACTTAACATGCAAGTTAGGGGTTACTGAACTGACTCAGCCAAATACCACTTTTTAATAGAATGAATCGGGGTAAGTTCGTAACAAATGTTACTCATCCTACCTGTTTCTATAGCCAACAAATCCAGCTTGTTTGCTACTTTCCGGCCCGTCTACCTTTGACACCTTATTGCTACCGGTGGTAACGTTCCACCTTATGTTGAATGCTCGTTTATGTATATATTTAATTAGGTGAAATGGACGCAGTAAATAGGGGAGCTCATTAATTCGATGACATCGTTAGGACGTACTGCCCAAAGGAGTTGTGGTTATTAGTAAGCTAACATCACCTGAATACCGCTTCTGCCTGAATACACACATCACTGTGTGTGAAGGTTCGTCATCGCTATTCACTACTTCTTCCAGTATATCCACTAATTTTGTATTGTGTGCACATATTTCCGAGAATACCGACTCACAATATTTTTTCAGCCACTCGCTTACTTTATTTGAATATTATGAAGTAAAAGCATTCTGTTGCTTCACTGTTATTCAACATTGCGTTAGTGTTGCTATTTTGTGACATAGAAACTTAGGTTTCTACTAGCAAAAATCATTGACAGATGAATGTCTCCTGTGCGTTGTATACTGACCGATAATTATTAAATCTCTACAGTATTAAGGCCTCACCAGCAACGACGTGTTTTGACATCTTATCATAAACTTTAAGTCTGTCATTAATATCCAAAAACCATAAGTGTAGTCACCTCTGTAGTATATTTCTTTAAATATATACGTACACAACTATGCAACAAACAGCCGGTCAATAGTTAAATCATGAGTTTCCGAAGGAATATAATCTACTATTTGTTCGGTGAAAGCTAGAGCAACTCTTTTAGCTCTTTTAAAAACTCCTGAAAGACATTGTCTCGTGTACCACCCAATGTATCGGTCGTAATATCCACCTCCTCGACCAAGACGATGTCCACTTCGTGTGAAAGCCAACCCAGGCACAACGAATAAATCTACTCCACCTATAAAAGAATGAGTTGGAACGTAAATATTGTGCTTTAAATAGATGTATAAAAAGCGACCGCAAAAAATGAGCCAAAAAGTCTCCCTTAATAAGATTCTACTGCGAAAAATCACTTAAGGATAGATTAGTGTACTAAATCACATTTTTGACAGGGATTAACGACACCAATCCTATTGTTTACGAGTCTAAGGTATAAGATAGTTAACGTTATATTATGAGAATCAAGACTAGGAAGATAACATGTGAATCTCCTGTAAACTGACAAACTACACTGATGTTGATTTAACGTATTTTTATTTATCGACCCTGATAAGCTAACTGAATGTGACCCAGTCGTCAAATATCACAACACGTACTGCAACTAATATATCAGTCAGCTCAATTCTTTGACAAGTTCGGACTTCTGTGGACTGTCTAGGTTTTCTATCATTAGCAAAGCATCTGGAACTTTGAAATATTCGGATCCCTTGACTAGGATGAGTATAAGTATGTTTGCTTATCTTAAAAGCAGGAAATCACTGTTTTCTAACCGGGAGTTTCATATGTCACGAATGTGGACCTGTATACAAGCTGGATTTACCGCTACTCGGTAATTCAAACCTACCACTGTTTTTGGTTGGTATTCTTCTATCCTGACTAACTTGACAGAAAACTACTAATCCATTGATTTTATTTATATATTCCTACTAGAATTCATCAAAATTTTGGTTTAGGATGTCTGTTTCGTGGTAGCTACTATCAACCGACATAATTGATTATTCAAGAAACGGTTGTTACTAACTTCAACATTATACAATTAGACATAATATTTACCCTGACTTGTAATTTCATTTAACTGTTCAATATATGAAACTGGTTCAGGCTCTTTAATTCCCCATTTATTATACTTCCAAAAGTCAATCTCTTCTAATGACTTAACAAGACGCATAGACATGGGAGGGTCGTCGTCGGATGCAGAAGATATAACTTGTGGAACAAATATCCTTTTCCCATCAATAAGTGATTTTCCAATTAATGATAACGTGTTGGGTTCCTCAGGAAGGTTAATATAGACAGCCAAACTTTGAGAAGTACAATATTCAGGACTACTTAAAAACTAGAAAAAGATTTTGTTTAAAAATGTAGTTTTAATGGAATGAATTAATAAACAGAGAATAACATCCACAAACTTTCTAAGAATAGACTGGTAGCGTTATGGTTCAGGAAGAACGTTCTCAGCAAAAAAAAACGAGAAACTCACTTACTAACTACTAGTTAATGAAATTAATTCACTAAAGAACTATCGATTTGTAGTGATTAGTACTGTGGATCGTATTAAGCCTTGAGCCGACTTTTAGTATAATGAGATTCACACGAAATAAATATCATGAACAGAGATAACCTCGCCTGTCACAATAAATGCTTAACCATACTGTCGTATATATGCTGTAGTAATAATTATTGGTTGAACAGGTCTTAAATGCAATAATCAATAACTTACACTGAGAACATTCATCGTTTTACAACAGGGAACTGACTCGTTAATGTGCTGTGTATACTAAGTGGATGGGTGTGTACTATTTACTCAATTATAGGAAATACAACTATAGTAATAGTTAAATGAACACATTTACCTACTATGATCACAACAGCTTTTTTTTCTATATGAACCAACCTTCGTCTAGACCTACAGTTTTATAACCAAAAGTGTACTCTTTTAGATCTTATTGGATGAAATATTAGAAACTAAATACTTTAATACAATGAAATCTCCAGTTATTAGTTTTCCCTTTACTTAGTAGTAGAATTGAACCGATCACTTAACAGTTTTGTGTAATCATCCAGTAAAATAATTATTGCAATCATTACTTAGTGACATAACTTGTTCAAACCACTATGCATAATTCACAATACGTTATAGTAGCCAGTTAATCAGAAGATATATGTAGAATTTATTTCTCAACTATCATCTTACCTGCTTTAGGATAAGTTCTGATTTTTTCATGTGTACTGATGGTGGTATAAGCTTCAGTATTTTTCTCATCCTTTGTCTAATTTCATTTTTACTAGTCATAGCAGTTACTGAGACAACAAAAATATGGATTAAAATAATGGTTGAAGGTCATTAGTGTCTTCAAAAAAATGGTAAAGTCACTTGGAATTATATTTGGAAATTTTTAATTTTGTAAAAGGATTCTGTACATGTAAAATTTAACATAAGGATGACATAAACTTTGCAAATGTATTAACAGATGACGTTGGCTTAGTTTTAACAGTCGTCGTCGTTTGAACAGTCTCCATCTTAACAATATTCATTTTAGACTTTTTCTTTTGTTTCCTATTACAATTCACATAGATTAATGGGTAGAAATAAAAGGAAGCAGAAATATCAACTAACTTTATTTTTTTCCGTGTTTGTGTAACAGGAGTTTCTTGTAAATTATTTGGCTTGCTCACTGGGCTGTTATAAATAAAGATGAAAAAAATATCTTAAGAATGAAATTTAAAATGAGACAGAAAGAATATTGAATTAGACAAATATAGTATCAGCATAGGAGGTTTGTGGGGATTACTGATATTATATAGGCACTTATCTAGTAAAGGCGATGGGTGGTGGTTGCAAAATACCACGGACTGATGTTGGATTCTGGCTTAGTGATCTAGGAGCTAAGTGTGAGCCACGAGGTTAAAGATTTCAGTTTTAACTCCCGATCAGGTCGTGGAAGTGCGCTGCTTAGTACCGTACAAGAACAGAATAGCTGTCTAGTGCTTCTTGGTTTTCAATGAATATCTAACTTGAGTCAGTTTCTGATTATGATAAAATGTAATATGGTTTTAAGATTTCATCATAAAATGCTAGCAACTAGTGAGCTATTTAAAACTTGAGTAAACTGGACAGCAGCCTTACACTCCACATAATCCCAAACTCAGTCGATCTCAAGTTTTACAGTGAACAAAATTTACTAACCTAAAAGTATCAACTAGGAGCGAAAATAACCTCAAACAGACTGCACAAAACATTTAAGTCCATCTTAAGTTATTAATTGTCTAACTATTCGGATAATAAATCTGAAGCTCTTCCAATGAATTTATTCTTATTTATCACAGAATCCTTAAATCAGTGAAAATTTTAGCAACTGTAGCTTCAATGTAAAAGGAAACATACCAAGTTAAGTTTACACGACATGGCGTTGCTTTATGCTAACCAGTGGTGTTCGAGTAGATTCACTGAGTCAAATGCCGCTTTTAGGTCCAGGAAGACAGCTATTGTAGGACGCCTAAACGTGTGTCTGTGTTCCAGGACCTGTCGTAGTGTGAAAATGTGGTCTATACGACCACGTCCAGGTCGTAAACCATCCTGGTTTTCTCTAGTCTGCTCTTCACGATCACTAGTAAGGCGTCTAAGTATAATCGAGGCTAACAATTTAGAAACTATATTATTTAGACTTATTCCCCTGTGATTGTCATAAGAAGACTTTTGTCATTTCTTGTAAATTGGGACAATCAATAATTGAGACCACTCGGATGGGATTACGTCCAGTTCCCAGATTCTACCTAAGATCTCAGTCAATCTAGCTGCTAAAACTGGACCACCATCCTTAAATATCTCAGGGGTCAGTCTATCAGGACCTGCGGCTCGCCCTCGCTTCAGAATTCCTAACGCTTTCTCAACTTCGTAAAGCCTAGAGGGACTTATGTCGATTTGACATTCAGGATGACTGGAGATCGTGGGTAACCGAAGAGTGGCTCGAGGTCAGTTGAACTGATCCCTAAAGTGTTCTGCCCATCGATCCAGTCTCCTGGATTGAGAATAAATAATAGTCCCGTCATTTTCTGAGATAGTCTCACCTACACTAGGATTCCTAGTACCAGTTTCCTTGATAAGTCGGAAAAGTTGTCTATTGTTGCCGATCGCCGCTGCCTTTTCCATCGCTTTTGCTTTCGCCACCCACCACTGTTCACGGTCGTTGCGCAGGCTTTTTATAAGAACAAAGTTTCAAGAGACCAGGGATGACGTTTCGTGAACTCGCATCGTTTGCATTAGCGGTGCAGTCAGATAAGGGAATGTGAGTACAGTTAGTTTTGGAGAGACGAGAGGTATGTGTGGGTGTAGGAAGGATTTGATTTCGACCAATTTGGTCTCTCGTGCTGTTATGGGTATGAGGGCGGTTGTCACTTCCCGGCTGCCCACACCGTGGAAGGTTGTTTCTTGAGGGACCTGAAAAGGAAGGTATATATGCGTTGGTCTTAGAGACCTGGGTGCATGGTCGCAGAGCTCAAGGGACAACCGCCTGAGGCCGGTCACGCACGGCCTTTTTATGAAGGATTTCTCGAGTATTAGCTCCACTCTTAAAGGCGCTTAGTGGGCACCTTTACCGCCGGAGACGGAAATCCGTGAGGTAGGGTGAGGTGTGACATTTTCAGGGCCGACCTTTCCACACTTTCCTTCTTTGTGAGAAGGCAGCATCGCTGTAGATGCTGGTTGTCCGAGGGAAACGCCTTACTGCTGTCACACCCCTCTGCAATCAGCAGTACGACTTCGCCCTCAGACCTTGGGTAGCTGCTTTAATCTCATCGTTCTCCAATAGACCTGCATGGCATGGTAGAACCTTCAGGAACATATGTTGCAGCCAGTATAGCTCGGCTGGGTCATCACGATAGTCAAGCCCGACCACCACGTCAAGGTAGCAGCTACGGTCGGGGTCTACAACAGATAAGCTCAGATAGCCACCTATTTCTAGCAAATACTAAAGATATCCGTCTGCTTCCCAAAGGACGATTGTATAGCGCAGCAGTTCGCTCCGTCCTACTATGTGGATGCGAAACATGGCCGGTGACAGTTGGGGATATTCGTGGGTTAATAATATTCGATCATAGATGCCACCGAAGCATTGCTTGTGTATCCTGTGACAACCGAGTAAGCAATGCTGTAGTTGGGAAATGAGTGCTAACTATGGATGGCAGATCAATAGATGAAGTATTGAAACCTCATCAGTTGAGGTAGTCGGACATGTGTTACGTATGCCCTGCCGCCGACTACTTTGGCAAATTATATTTTGTGGTGTAGAGGTAGGTTGGAAGAAAGCTGGCGGCAGCCCAATAAAAACGTAGCACAAATCCATGAAGTCACTGACAAGTGGACTGAGTCATGCTTGTTGATGTAGACTACCTGGTTCGGGTCCACGAGGCGATAGTAACTGATGGTTAGAGACCTTGAATGACAAGGCTCGAAATCATTTGCAATGGCGCAGGTGCATCCACTCTTTATGTTTTCTGAAATCCTAACCTGAATTTCTCATCACCTCTGTCTTTCTCATTCAAATTTTTCTCACTGAATTTTACTTCTTGAATAATATCTTCAAACCGCTTCTACTCCTACTACCTGTACTACTATGGGATTGGGACTGACAATTGTGTCTCTGTGCTAATGTGTTATGGCAACTTGAACTGATGTACGCATGTACCAAGTTTCTGACTGACTGACACCCGTTTCCACATGCCCTAAAGCAAGGAGCAAATTATATCTGGAAACACCATATGGTTGCTAGGTTTTCTGTGTATTGAACTAGATAGAATCATCTTACATAAATTAAGTCTTCGTTATAAAAAAATATCTGACTAGTGATGTTTCATAATAGTTGCAAGGTACAAACCACATTATAGATAAAAAGAATCAAAAAACAAAGCTAGCTCAGGAGAGTCATTATTACATGAAAAGTTTAATGATGGACAAGTCTATCTGTAGATCACAAGTTGCTTTAGTAACTCATTAAACCACTTAAAACATCACCTGCAAACCATTTAAATTAATTATTCTCTACCTACCACTTATATTCTTTAGGTACAAATCCACGAGACAATTCTTTCGCACCACACAGTTTGCAAATAAATACCTTATAGTTTAGCATTATTTTATCTTTATGTTACTTGATCAATTTGAAATGATGAGCGACGACGAGCAATCCTCTTTTTAATCCGAATGATTTTCTCAGTAACACTATGTGAACGAAAGCAACTCAAGCATATTGTACGGCAACATGGAGGTTCTACATAGTGAAAAAATGTGACTTGTCAAATAATGCAATGAAAGTATTAAGTAATTATACAAGCATAATTGTGGATAAATACAAGTTTAACATTTCGTTTGCTTTAGGTGTTACCTCAAACTAAGTAGGGGATTTGAGTAAGGAAATATGAGTGAATTCTGGAAAATAACCGAAAGCATTAATTCTAAGCTGATAACAAACTAAGCTAGTACATATGTTTGACGACAACTGAAGAGATGATTACCAACAGTCAATTGTAAAAGAGAAAGTATATACAATCATTTGAATACGAACGAAGGCTATTATGTCCTGGAGTGTAGTCATGAATGGAAGACATTTTAGGATTACCACGGGATCATACTGTTTTCCCGACAAAAAGGAAAATGCTTCACTGTATGGCCAGTTTCACAGTTATATTTGAGAAAAACGATTTTATAAACTTATGACAAGCTAAAGCTATTATACATGAATAATTGATAGATATACTAAGCATCAAACAGAAGTTTTGTAACTAACTTTTGAGTATTTCACACTCTCCAAATTTAGAGAATTCATACAACAATCTGTAAGTCGTATCAAAGTGAATAATTTAAACCAGTTACCGATTGTGATAATGAGACAATGGTGTATCTTTTGTAACTTCGCAAATTTTTTCGGTAAATATTAGGTTCCTTTTCCCCATACAACGCCGCTTCTTATGTTCCTGGCTATACATAAATATAAAGGAAAACTTGAGTAGTGCAAAAGGTAGTGTATATTTGGTGAGTTGTTGACTGATTTAACTCGACTGATTTTTAATCTTTAGAAATTATTAGACGTTATAAAGTACAATGAAAGGTGGTTGGTGGGATTGTTAATTTCCAAAATCTACTGGCATTATAATTGATACAGAAAGTACTTGTTTGGCCTAGTAGTCTAGAGGTGACAAAAGGTCCTGGAGTTTGGTTTCCGGATGCGAAAGTGCGGACCTTCATTACCTTGTAATTGCATCATTACGATTGCCGCAATATATATATATATATACATATATATATTTGTTAACTACTGTTACTGGATACATAGAACACAAAAAGTTTCAATACACACCTGCTCACTAAGCAACACCAGAATATCTGACCGTATTAGCGGATTGCCTATAAAACTCATGTTGTCAGTCTGCTAATTTTATGAGGGCTAATAATTACAACTAACCTATTGTGTTCTAACCATGTACTGTACTAATTACCAGTCGCTAGTTACAAGACTAAAGTTTGATAGTATTTTCGTCTAAAATAAAAACGCCGTGACGATATTGTATGCGTCGAAGCTCAGTCAGTTAGTTACAACGTAGAACTTCGTACATCAATACATTAGTTCAGGTTGCCATACCACATCAGCACAGAGACGCAATTGTCAGTTCAAATCCAATAGTGATAGCGATAGTAGAAGTATCGGCAGTAATGGAGAAGATTAGGGTTCGAAGATATTATTCGAGAAATATAATTCAGTGAGATAACTTTAGAAAGAGAAAGATAGAGATAATGAGGAATTCAGAAGATTCCTTATTATCTCTATGCGCTCAAGCTACTAATTCTTAGTACTTTTGGGAAAAGTCCCAAACGTCGGAAGAGTTTCGGGATTTTCTGCTTTATTTTTTACCAAAATTTTCGAAGGAATTGTCTTAAAAGTTGAAGTCTTGTCAAAAAGTTGTGAGCTTGGGCACTTCCAGGTAATAGGTATTGTATACAGAAAGGTCACTTTTGGAGAATGACCATGTAAAGTTTACAACTGTTAGTTTGGGTACTTATGATTATAACTAATTTATGTGAGAATACCCACAGACAGTTATTAACAGATTTCCATACGACTACGATGCGAGACTAATTTATGGAAGAGCCAATTAGATGCGAGTAAGTGGTCTCAAGATCAAAACGATGATTTAAGTAATCAATGCACACATACAATCGGTTTACAACAAATTTTGCGGAAGGGGTTATAGTCGAGCAACTAAAACAAACAGAATTATTGAAGAGCTCCATTGTTTTTTATTGTGGCGTTCAGATGACTGCTGGGTAGTGTGCGGGCTACCCCAATACCGTTGTATTTCGATGTATGATGTGCTCAAGAACGAAATCTTTGACAAACGATACATACTTTTCTCGATCTCGCTTAACAATGACACATTATGTTTATTGTCGCAGCCAGTAATATGGGCTGCAGCCTTTGAAGACGTTATTGAAGCTTCTGCAATTTTATAGTATGAGTGGTGTATAGATATGTGTGCAATAAAAATGGTAGGGTTGAGCGGTCTTTTGAAGTTGGAAGAATTTGAGATTATTGAGGCAATCGTTGGAAAACAGAAATTCAATGGAGGAAGAAGTGAGAGAAAAGGGATGCGTAGCAGCTATGTAAGTAAACTTAGCAGGTTTTGATATTTATAACAGATCACCACAAAATTGATATTTCCAGAAAGTCCATGACCGACAGGCTACAACACTGATACAAGTCAAACGGAAGTATGTGCAGCTGGGCATCACAATACACTAGGAAAACCGTAAGTATATGTTATTAGCGTTCTCCCAAATTTTACTCTTCTAAATCCCTTATGACGATTTTTTCCTTTCACATCCATTTGACTTAATCATACTTGCCAAATTATATCAACGAGCCCTTATCTATCCCATCACTGCTAATACTGCTACAACCTCAACTCCTAAGAGATTAGAATTGACAATTTAATCTCCCTAAACTGTTATGTGGCAAATCCTAGTTCTGTATGATAAAGTAGTACTCTATATCAAGCGTCTTATGATTGACTGATATTCGTTACTATATTACGGCCCCGCCTACTACGATAACGACTGAACGAACTACATTATAACGAAATTATATTTTTACACCTGAAAGATGTGCGACAACTTTGACGACATGAATTTACAGCAAATAAAAAAAGCAATTTCTAGAAAACACAAACCACGATTTCAAAAATTCATCCATTCATTAACGCTCTTTCCACTTATCGAGCTTGTGTCTGTTAAAAATTCGAAAATTTGCGATAAAATACTGATGATATGTATAGAATTCAATTCAATAGCTACATTAGGCTAAAATGGAAGTACTCACATGTCCATTTCTTGCAACGGCCGCCAAGGTCATACAGCAGTAGCACCACATTTGTAAAGAACACTTCCGATATCCAATAACTTTTCCACGAGCCAGTATAAACCGATTGATTTCTTAGCCCTGCCTTCTTATTCCTTCGGTACAGTTCTATGTATTCGGTAATGTTCAAAGAATGGTATTCTAGCCACTCTACTACACTAATTCGAGTCAGCTGGTAGGTCTTATTGAATTTTTATTTTTCTAAATTTGAATTAGTGCGTTTATCTCTCGGCAGTCAAGTTTCTAAATACCAGTAGTTATAACAATATCAAGCTTGAGATCAGTTAGTTGAAATATGGAGAATATTAGGACGGGAGTTCCTAAGCTCAAAAGAAGAGGAAAATTTCAGAACTATGTAAATAATCAACAATGTTAATCGATCGGTAAGGAAGATGGCATGAGGAGGCAGAAATGTGAGAAAAGATATGGAAATAGAGATAATAATTGTGACAGATTAAGTAAGTGGTTTGAGTCAGTGACGATGAAAATGGCAAACAAGTTTCTAGACATGCATCAGGCGCATATGGTTCAAGCAGGAGATGATATTCTGTTTGAGGTTACGTGTTTGTGAAGTCACTTCTTGAAGCTATCCATTGAATTGGCTGTTACCAACCGGTTAAAGTGTAACCCGCTGTCTATTTCCCATCTCCCCGTCGTTTGTTTACTGACCAGTCGTTTGATCTTCCTCAATAGTGGTAGTAGAAGCAGTGAGACTGGTGTGCGGCAAGCTGGATCTTTCCTACCACCTCCTCTGCCTTTTTTCCTTTTATTCATGCACTTTATGGGTCTTACTGTACTTGAGCAGCTAGCCTCATCTGAAAGGGTCTCCTATCTCTCTGAACCTTGTCAAGTAAGAACTATAATGAGAATCCTTCAGAGGGACCGTTCCGTCGTGTTAGGCTCCCTATCCAGACAGTAATTCACTATAAATTACTTATATTTCTCCTTTGCTCTTCGAATGTAGATTCGTCCCTACCTGGCGGATTCAGCGATCTACCGTCGTGGCAGCCTGCTAATCGCAAGCGTGTTTCATTCGATTCACAGGTGGTTGAACCTTATCGCACGTGCATTTCAATATTATTGAGCTAAATGGACCTTTGGTGATGTCCATTCACGCAAGTTCAACGAAATTTATATATTGTCAGCGTAAAAACAGTAAACAATGCGTTTGCTGAGAAGAGAATCAACCTAAAATCACTTCATTTCCCTAAACTCGACAGATCAGATGGCCCTGGCAGTATTTAACCTAGGTCCGTAGGAAATAATGGAAAATCAAACCGTCGCATCACTGTTGGCGTTACTTATTTATGGATTTACCAAACCGGTATTATGGCTCAACCAGCAGGAAATACCATTTAGCTTTCTATCTCATCAAATGTTATGAAATACCATGATGTGTAACTAATTTTTCCACGACAAAAACTGATTGGAACGTAACAAAGTATTGGAATACGAATAAGGATTTCAGCTTAATCTTCGAAAGATTCTTTACCATGGATTTTAGGTTGAAGCAGAACAGCCAATGTTTACTTTTGCGAAAAGGGTTGAGTCGGTTACTTTTGCGGCGGTTGAAGCAGAAGGTTTTTATCATACAGTAAACTTAGTCTACCCCAGAACTATGGACTAAATGAGTCAACTAATAGATAAAAAGCAAAAAAAGGAATCAGAATGGAAGCTGTCAATATATAAGTACAAGGTTAATAAAGCTAACACGGTCATAAAGTTAAATAAATTGACCTGAAATAATCGAAACTATAGGTGAAATGAATTATAACAACACCTCTGGGAGTAAACATTACTCGCCAGTCACCCTTCACGGATTATAGATCACCCGCCGGCAATCTTCAACATATTTTTTCCTAGACCCTTTTATCATATACGGTGTCTGGGATTTGAACATGATGCTTCCAACCCCCAAAATGGATATTTTAACGAGAAGGCATTAAGGGAGAGAAACTCTATTCAGCTACTGAATCATGAACATAAATACCCACCTGCTTGTATGCTTTCCTTTCACATGAGAAATGAATCCATTTCTTTACTAATCAACTACAAGTATCTCAAGGCAAATCTGATGTTCATTAAGTGGCCTTCTTATTTGGCCACTTCTGATGGGATCATTATCCCCAGCTCTGTCTTCGAACTAGCCCGATATGCCAATCATTCGTTCGACGGCTGACCTCCACTCTGGGAAGATTCGTTATTCAGTCTGACTCTTCTTGTTACCCAGTGGATTTTAAATTACATATCGCCTTGTGACGCGGTTTGATGATTTCTATAAACTGAACCCGACCTATCTCCTGGTTTCTTATTACCTTCCCCCACATCCAGATGCCATTTATTCCCCAACGCAGTGAGTTCAACAACGATGCTCTCCAGCCATGTAAACTTTTCCAAACTTTCTTTAGCTTCGTCATCGAATTTGACCTGTTTGGAGCCCATCAACGATCAGAAGAAAGAGAAAGGATGTGAGTAAGTAACCTTGCCTGACATCGGTCTTCACTTGGAAGAAGCATGTGAGCTGTTCACCAAGCATGAATCTCCAGTTTAACCGATCGTAAGCGTTCCCCGCGACATTGACTTTCTCCACAGGTGCACCATAATGTCGAAGAAACATGCAGAATGTCATCCTGTCCAGTCTATCAAGTGTTTTCTGCTAGCCAGGAAAATTGACGTATAATGGTGAATCCCATCCAAATGATCGTTTCACTATGATCTGGAGTGTCATAGTTTGCTCAGTACGTGATGGATCCTGGTAGAACCCATTTTGCTAGTCTCGACAATGTACGTCAATGGAACTTCCTATTCTACTCAAAAACATTATGTTAAAGACCTTTCACGACAATAATAGTACAGTGATTACTCTGAAATCTTCACACTCGCTGAGATCTTTCTTTGATATTTTGATGAGGCACTCTTCTTTCCAGTCTGTTAGCACTTGCTCTTCCCTCAGTAATCGCTGCGGAGACTGTGGGACACATTTTTTGTTACTTCTACGTCTGATTTTAATTCTATATGACTGATGGCTTTTTTATTTCCTCGGCTGTTGCTAGATTAAAATCAATTTGGAGGTCTGAATGTGCCGCTTAGATGCTTGGCGGATTTAGTGGTGATAGTCTATACGAGGACACTTAACAATTCTCTGCCAACCTGTTCCGCAGTTCTTTTATATCACTTATTGGTTTGTTTTCCTTGTTGTTGACTGGTCGTTCTGGTTTACTGTGTTTTGTAGACAACTTTCGATTGTATCGTATAGGTCTCCAAGGTTTCCTCCACCTTCAGCGTTTCATACAGTCGTTTCTAGGACTTACATATACTTCCACTTATATGTCCTAGTACTTCTCTTCACTTCCTTGTTTTCTTCTGTGTATTCAGTCTGTGCATTGGCTTTTTATGTTCTTGTTCAGCTGTTATATACTGCAGTCCTGTTCTTCCTTTCTCGAATCTTTTCCACTGACTATCGTGGAGGAATTTAGGTGACTTAAATGATTTTTCCAGTTCAAATGTTTAGGCAGTATCTTTCTCTATGCTACTGAGTTTCCAGCCACATGCCCAATCCTCCTCCTGTATAGGAGTTTGGGACTGGTTGGGAGAGCTGCTAGCAGAGCCCCGAAATTCGAGTGCTAACCTACATCGTATAGAAGATCTAGACTCACTGGGGTTGATAGTATGTCTTCAGGACATTTCAGATCCACAGCGTTCATCATGATCCTTTGCGTGAAGTAAGAGTACGGATCTTGTGATTAACGTCCTCCATCTACCAGGTCTAAGGACCGGGGAAAACTGTAAACAGCATCCATATGGAACTATAGAAATGATTTAGAATCCATATTAGTCGCAACTTCAGGACCAGGAGGAACTGTTTTAAAGCCACCATCAAAGAGTTTAAAGACTGATGAGTTATTTTCGTGGCATTTCCTAACTTATATTCAAGACTGTTTACAGTACTATCCCAAACGTGAGTGATTTGACATTGAGGACATCTGATTCAAGCACCGGGTCCTTGTTTCAAACTTGATGCGCCAGAACTGGTTCAACGTCGGGTTACTGAATCATTAAAATATCCTCCTAACTTATCGTATAGAGATCGCCTGAGATGTCTCAAAGTATCTCACTCAAAGCTTTAGGGTGTTACTATCTACAAAATGATGATTTCGATGATGAAATGCTTTGGCCGTATTTTGCACTAATTCACCAATTTTAGTTGATTCAGTTTGAATCAACTTGATTCGCTGTTCACAGGATCTGTGCAGGTTGTGCTATACAGCAATTGTGATGCTTAACAGAGTCGAAACATTTTTAATTATGAAAATTTACTGTAAAAAATTTCTGACAATTTTGATAATTTCTGAACTCAAGTATTCGTGACTTGTGGTCGCTGCAATAAGAAACATATAGTTTTCTTTATTCTTATGTCACCAGGTGAATAAGAGAACAAAAATCAAATTCTGGGGTCCTTATTCCAGGCATAGGGTGTCCAATATCCAAGATCATTCAGTTTATGGTTTCGTTTTCTACAGTCAGTCAGTTCCTACTAGGGAGTACCGTATCCAAACTCAACTCTTGCATTTTAAGTGATCTTATTTCACCATGGTAATACTGTGGTGCGAGCTACTTATAAGTAGTATATGACGTGAGTGTCAACGTAATGTATGGCAGCATAATATGGGGGAAGATCAAGAAAGGAAGAGTTAGAAAACAATGGAATTTGTATGAAACGCATGAATAGTGACAATGGATTGATGTTTTGCAACAGGAACAGTCCAGTTCGATATGATGGACTGATATTTTGCAAATGAACGATTTACGATATGGTTTTCCGATTATACTGAGTAACTCTGTAATTTTCGTTAAATACAATTCGGTTGCCCCACCTGTATCTCGTTCATTGCAATACGGGTTGTAAGAATCAACTTAGGTCGCTTGACCTCTATTCTTTACTCCTGTAAAATGATCTTCTGAATAGAGAAATGAAAAACTATTTGTAAAATTACCAATTCTGTCTCATAGGTTTCGGAAATGGATGGTAGGGCGTTCTCAGTTATATTGCGGTATGAGTACTGTCGATGTTTTTCTTTTATTTATGCAGTCAATGTCCTTGAATGTCCGGTCATATCTGATTTTGTTGGTGCAACAGTTATTGCTCGTTCTCGAGGAATGTCATGAACACCATTGGAGAATGTTGAACAAAGTTCTGACGTAATTATAAACCTTTCATTCTATTTCAGACTCTTATCTGACTAACTCTAGATATAGATACTTAGTCTGACTTACAGACACTAAAGTGATCTGATTTGTTTATAACGTGGAGCTAGTAGAGAAAGTGTATTCCAACAAGATGTGCAAAAAGCTTTTACTTAACTGTTAAAAACATACCATTAACTTCGAGAGAGCCTAACCTTACACAAGGAGCGAGTGTGATGTATCTGACCAGCATTCTTGACGGTGGGGTGATAACCTTTATCTACTCACGTCTGAGGGGCAGGACATTTTTTGCTCATGGTTCCTTACGATATAGCAAAATGTAACTAATCAATAGTGTAGATGTTGCTTTTCCGAGACAAATGCGACTACGACCCAGGTTTGTAACCGTGAACTGGCTTCACTTCCTACCAAGAAATCCTGTTGTAAGCACATCTGGACAATTATGCTGACTTCCTGAGCTATAACGTTATAAAAGACAATAAATGGAACGTCACCAAGGCTTCAGATCACTGTGCCTTCATTATTATATTCCTACAAATCTACGTAATTTCTAAGAATTTAGTTCTTTTTATCCACCTCTATTAGCTCATTCGTTATATAACTAGTGACTTGCCTTCGTTAACATTCATTAGTGCAGTTGTACAGTTGGTTTTATAATACAGAAAAAGAAAGGTCTGAGTAATCATACCTATGTTTTATCCAAAGACATTATCTGCTGATTCATGACTCGGCTTCAAACAAGTATATTTTATGTTCTGCTCCTCTCAACTTTCTAGTCACGGCTTTTTAGTACGTCATTCTACTTCTTAAATATTGGCTTTGATATTGCCAAAGAATCGGTTGCTTTATCCAGGAGCTTGTCAAACTATTATCTGACGATGGCTATCAATAAGATCATTACATGTTTACCTCATCACTTCTTGTTACATACAGACCTGGTCTTAACTTGCATTGATTCTTAACTATTAATGGTCCATCGTAGCTTGCGCCAACTGTTGTATTGTACATTACACAGTCTGAAAGATCATCTACACTTCATGTTAAAAATATTGGTGCTCTATAAACAACTAGTCTATCTTGTGAATTATTTTTCAGAATGAAAAACCTTTCACGGAAAATATGTTGGCTTTTTTAATCATTATGATCTTGCCCTTAAATTAGCATTTCTCTTATCACACGTTGTTTGAGAATAAATTATTGATAATATAAACTCCTCCGTAACTATGGAATTGAAGTAATTGTTCAGTCCTCTAAAGTCTTCAGAAGAAACACTCATGTTGCAGTCGAAATATTCACATCCAAGTTGAAATGAATTATGGTGTAATTAGTAACCTCCAACAAGTCATGAGGTCAAACACCAAATTCAGCAATTGCATGTTCAGTTCCCTAATTCAACTATCTTGACACTGACACCAACTTCAAACGTCTAAATAACAGTAACAACAGAAAATGTACCCTTAATTTCGTTAGATATTCTCACTAACTCCCAACACGAACTACGAGGTGTAAATCTTATACGCAATGCAGATCCAGAAAACTCAATCTTAATGGCATTAACCAAAGCTAAAAGCGTCATTGTATCAGCACCCTTTACAACTCATCATTTATTTCTACCCTCGGAAGTCCCAAAACGTCCGTGTTCTTACAGCAGAAGCTAGCACAAGTCTTTTGTGATATTGGCGGTGTTCCATTTCATGAGGAAAGGAGGTGGATTTACTGACCAGCGAACATTAGTGGTGCGGGTGATGACTTAAAAACAGCCATGTTTTCGGGGCATGACATTTCGTTTGCTCCCATCCCTTCTTGATTGATGAGTTGACTCATCACTGTTGCTGAAGTTGCTCACCTATGCGTGCTGCCATTTAGACTCTCGTTTCCAATTTTATTCTAAGATCGCCACTTTACCAAGATAGCTTGTAACATGCTTACCCAGATACCCACAGTATGACTTAAGGTTTGAAATTCGATGAAAAACAGATGAGAAATGAACATTATTGGCATTAACATTCTTCACATCCCCCATTATTCTCGCTAAACTTTCGGCTTTAGTGTACAGACATTCGGCTTACCTCAACTTTGATTATTCGAACTCCATCCACCTTCATAGACATCACAACTCATTGTTCCTTACTGCTACATTTCCTAATTTCGAGATTATATACTACGGTCTATTTTAATTTTAGCAACCGGTATGAGTTTTTTATTCATAATGATAGAATTTGTTCTCAAATTACAACGAGTAACACGACGCCTACCAGTTTCCAGGCAAGATCATTTTGGTGCGAGCGCTAGCACGTTTACCGCAATAGGTTGTTCAGCTAGATGGATATTTTGCAAGATGACTTGGGCATTAACATGGAGGGATGATATGTCTGACACAGAATTGTAAATAAAGTTTCAGAGTCTGGGATGTAAAATAGAGTCGTTGGATCGAATTACGTCGGTTGCATTAAAATAAACGGCTGGAGGTCGCGAATAGATTCAGGTTAAGTCTAGTGCTGTGTATGACAAAATTTGATGAGTTAAATGTACACTGACCTGCTTGATGGCATTCTTCAGATAATATTTCAACAGGCTTCTGAGGCAAGAAACTATAAGTGTCCTCAGGAATACCAGGGCTGTTACTTAGGGCGTAGGATGATGAATGCTCTGCGAAAATGCAATTAATTACGGAGGCTGATCTGTTAGGTCCAACATATGATATTAAGCTTCGTCCCGAGATAATTTAGAGTATACTATGAAGCCCTTAGTGTTAGTTTTCACTCTGAACTTATATATAAAAAGAGACTGATTTCAAGTCGTTGGATCAGCTAATATGAAATGGCAATGTTGAAATGGTCCGCATTTTTTAGCGTCGATCATCTGTTGCCAATGTACTTTTGCGTAAGGAGCATCCTACTTCAGGAGCATCCACTTCAGGAGTTTCACAGGGGACCATCCTAGGCCCACTCCTCTTCCTGATATTCATTAACGACCTGCTAAGCTTAGTTAGCTCACCGGCACTGATCTATGCGGACGATGCGAAGATCTGGAGATCCATTAGAAGCGAAGAGGATTCGACTGAGCTTCAAAAGGACCTTACATCCATTGAGGAATGGGCAATGAAAAACGGTTTAAAACTTAACCAACCGAAGTGCCACGTCATGCATTTCCTGCCTCATATGACGCAAACCACCTACTTTCTCAATGGAAGTCCGCTCCCTAATGTCTCCTCAGAGCGCGATCTTGGTTTAATAACCACAGAAAGCCTCCACACGAGTCCGAACTATGTAGGGGATGCAGCCAAGGCAAATGCGACTCTTCACTTTATGCGAAGACAGCTTGGTGCTATAACCCCGAAATTATTTTTAACCCTGTTTAAGACGTACGCGCGCCCACACTTGGAGGTTCACAACGTCATCGCACCCCCTATGCTTAAAAGAGACATTAATCTCTTGGATCGAGTGCAGAGACGAGCAACCAAATGGGTGATAGGTTTGAAAAATAAACCGTACGACGATAGACTCCAGCTCTTGGGATTATTCCCACTGAGCTACAGGAGAATCAGAGGTGACCTGATTATGGCGTACACCATATTAAACACGCCCAACCATCCCAATGTGAGCATCTTACCGATGCATCACCACCACTCCCCTCGAGGCAATCCTCAAAAGATTGCACATCAAAGAGCAAACACTCAGGTTCGTGCACACTTTTTCTCATTGCGAGTCGTCGCAACTTGGAATGCTCTCCCAGCCGAGGTAGTTACAGCCCCCTCAGTGGACTGCTTTAAGAAGAGACTTGATAATCACGTACTCACATGCGGACTATCATCTCCCTCTTGGACAAGCTGTGCCTGATGCATATCTTGAGACCTGCTAGTTGTTACCATTGCCATCTCCTCAGATCACTTAATTAATTTAACTCGCCTATTCCTCTCCCTTGCTTACACTTCGGTCCTCTCTCACAATCTTCACTACCAATTAATAAACTAAATTCATCTATATATTACTCAGTTCTGAAATTTTACTCATATTATCATTTTAATTTACCCTTATTACCCTTATTACTCTCCACATTGCAACTAACTGATCTCCGGTTTGGTAAAGTGACGGCTGCTAGTATCCAGAAACCCTACTGCCCTGAAACAAACGTTTCATTCAAATCCCGAGACATACAAACTCACAACCAACTGCCAACTGACTAGAATTAGACAGTCGAGTGGCTAGACCTCCATCCATTGGACATTACCGAACACCTGGAACCGTACCGAAAGAACAAGAATCGAGCGCGAAGAAATCAAATTGGTTTACACTAGCTCGTGAAAAAGATATTGGATATTGGATATTGAATGCGGCACTTCTGATCGTGGTGAAAAGTTCAAGGTCGGTCAGGGCTACATTACTGTTAAGTCTGCTTTCTTTTAGATCCCTCTAAATTTAAACAACTCTTTTTACCTCTAAAGTCTCATATAATATAAACTTTAAGACTGGTTACACACATGAAACTGGATTGCATTCTGGCCATTATACAAGAAAGTATGGTACGTATACGTACCATGTAAAAGACTACGCCTATGCATAATACAGGTCTTGCTGTATATAAAAAATTCCAAACTGAGATGTTGTTTACCACTGATGGTTTGCTTTTCATCATTTCTGACTTGTTAATGATTTATATATGTAGTGCCTCGATCACTTTCGGCGGATACTGTTCAAAATCTTTCGATTTAGCCCAACTCTTGTAGAGAAATGTTCACAGACCTTTAGCCTTTTTAAGTAATATCCAGGTAAACGCATTTGCAGTTGACCAAATCGGGCTTAATTTGCCAAGCGACTTAATTTTCCGTGCACTGGAGAAATTTCTTCACTAGATATTTCAAGAATCCTTGTATACCATATGTATTTAACATTTTCTGTACTTTAGATGAAAAAAATTTTCATTGTCAAGTGTTTCGTCACAACGTTATTTCATCAGATAGATGGCTTACCTTGTACTTTAGAAAATAACCCAGTTTTCTTCGTACACTTATGCAATTAATGGAGTTTAATGTCGATAAATTGAGTTCATGCAAACCTAAAGTAAATACCAAGGTACGCACACAACTAAAAATGCTTTATTCGCCTCTTGTAGTGGTATTGCATGAAACTTACTAGCAAAACTAGTGTAATCTCTGCGGTAGTAAATATGCTTTACACTAGCGCTAAAAATATCGACTATGTATACACTTTAAAATATGTCTGGACCTTTATTTACTGAAACTTAACATATAAAGTCAAAAAGATCTCAGTATTTTCAGAGGGTAATTACTAGAAGTATAAATTTCTCATCATATCTAGAACTCCATAGTATGTCAATATTTTTATCGCATAGTATAGTTATGAGCCACTACATTTACCTCCCCAATCTGATACGAAACCTACTACCTGTTTGTTGTAGCTTCAATGAAGACTTAGATCTTAAGACAATCTCAATGATATACACAAGTTATTGGGTGTTAGTTTTGAAATTTTGTGTCATACTAAGGACAAAAAGTACCGGAATCTTTAATGACAGTTTAGTAACCGTTGCATTTATCATCTTTTAAGAAAAAAATAGTACAATCCTCGACGTAAAACTTATTTGGCCCACAGTATAATGGGTTAGTATTCATAAATCTTTTTATTTGCCCTTATCTTCAGTGGTGTCCAATTAATGACACGAAGACATGTGATGGTATGCAGAAAGCCGTCAAATACTATCATGTTTCAGCTATAGCACTAAGGTTCATATGTGCGACTGAACTCACCATAAGCCGCACAAATGAATTCGTTAAAACGTAAGGTAAATTTTAATAGTTTCATAGGTAACCTAATGGAGTTCCTCAATACGTAGTTTTGTGTTCTCTGCATTAAGTCACATCATTCTTACCACACTCTGATAATCAAGTACTTGAGTCATCAGGGTTGACTTTTATTAATTGAATTAATATTTTTATTTTCTGTCTTTCGTTAGATTTTCCTTAGTGGCATCCATTCTCCACAGTTTTCTGATCTAATTTATGGCTTCAAATGAAGCATCGATCGAAGATTTAATAAAATTATTGACGGAATTCTATGATTCTTCAACCAGTCCATCTCGACGTCAGGAAATACAGATTATATTAGTAAATTTCGAAACCTCTGCTAATGCTTGGTATCATGCAATGTGTTATTTATCCATGTCTAAAAACCAATACGTAGTTCTGTATTGTTTAGGCGTTGTTGAAACGACTATTATTCATCAGTGGCCACTTCTTTTAAAAGATGATAAATTAAAAATGCGTTCATTTTTAAAAGATTATCTTAGTAGAAACTGTTTGGATCAGCCTAACTTCCTGTTAAAAAAAGCCGCAAAATTGCTATCACTGACTGTTTGCTTTGATTGGCCTGATCAATATTTAGATCATATGGAATTTCTTAAAACTCATATTTTCAATGATTCTTTGAACACTTTAATTGGTCTCAGGACATCGTTGATGGGTCTATATTGTTTCAAGTCTACGTATGAATCATTTCTAAATCCACCAGAAATGATAAATTATTCAAAGAAAACTGAACTTCAAGATTTTTTACGTAAAGAAACTACTGCATTCTGCGGATTACTGTATTCATTTACTTCACATATATGTAATAATATTGGTTGTGGAGATGTAATAAATTTGTCACAGTCTTATCTGTCGAGTCAAAATCCTCATTTGCAGCAAAATAGTCAGCATTCTCTTTGGCAACCACTTCTCATTTTTTTGGAATCTTTAGCCAATGATTGTTTAACAAATTCTGGGACTCGATGTTACACATTGATTGAGTGTTTCGAATGTTTACATGAAGTATTAAAACTGTGGCCTGGTCAACCCGATCTCTTGGAAGAAATTCTAACATCAGTATTTCTTTTCTCATTGATAGGAACTCCTCAATGTTTATCAGCCTGTGCTGAAGCAGAGGTAGCTCTTGCGTTATCACCTAATGACTGTGATCTCCTCAGGTTAATTGGTTTGACCGCCCTGACTTGTTTACACGAGTTGGTTGAAAAACGAAACGTGGACAGTTTAATGAAATATCAATCTAGTTTTGTCTTTCAATTTATCACTTGCCATCTTAACTTAGCTAGTGGTCGTATTGTACTGAAAAAAATTTCCACACAGAATAATGAAAATAAATTCAACAATAATAATCATGATATTTCTAGTGCTCTTGCAATGGACAGACAAAAACAGGCTAAATGTGACGATTTTGAAATGAAATTAGTCGAAATTATTCGTTGTATACTACCAAGTTGTCTTAAATTTGTTTATGAAAAAAATAATTTGAATAATAAGTTTTCAATGAATGATTTAACCATGTTTTTACAAGCTTTTCATGAATTTACCTTTTTCACATCGAATTTCGACACATATTTATCTTGCATTAATATTTGGTCTAGTGTATTTGAGTCTCTTCAATTTTGTATGTATCAATCATCTAGTTGCTTGATGTCTAATTCAAATGTACATAGAATACTCATTGAATTCGGGAATGCTTTATTTTCTAGGCTTTTTTATAGTGAGTCCTCGGTTTATTTAGATACGTTGGATTATGATATATTTGAAAATGATGAAATGTCATATATGCCCTACCCGACTAACGATGAGAATAGCTTGTTGTCAATTGTTTTTCCAGAGGAATCTCATACAAATAATTCGCAAAAAACTGAACCATGTGAATATGTGATATTTATTCGTGAAAGTTTATCAACATTTCATCATTTAGTGGATTTATTACCTCATGATTTTACTGCACTACTTTTCCAAAGATTTCAATGCATTTTAAATGAATATACTTCGCTAGTGAATTCAACTGGTTTACTATCGAATGTATTTAATTACCCTAAGGGTCAGCCAGTCTATCGTGTTCATTGGATTTTAAGAGATTTTGCTTCAATTGTACAGGTGATTGGTTTTATGTCTGAAAAATTTTGTTGTGAAAAATATCAAGAATGTGGTCAACAAATTTTACGTGCTCTAATGTATTGCTTACGTTTAAATAGTGCAATTTTTCCTGCTCTTCATAATATTACCGAGCGTCTTATACGACTAAGTTTTGTTGAAGTCATTGTTCAAGTATTGCTTGTATGGCGTGCTTTAATTGTTTCCGGTTCTATTGGATTTAATGTGGATTCTACTAATTTATCACATGATAAAATTTACCTCCCATCCACTGAATGTGAATATTTCTATTCCGAACTTATGGAAATCTTTCAGTGTTTTCTTAAACCTCTTAAAGATACCACATTGTCCTCTTTCACTATAATCTCTTCAAGAATTATCTATAGTTGTGCTCAATTATTCAAGTGTTTATTTACATCATCATTTCGTGATATACGCCCACCAAGCTCAATTATATTCAATGTAAATTCTAGAACTTTTACCATATTTAACAGCATATTTGATTCTATCTGTGAACAAAAGTATCCAATATCAATGGACTATCATATATTAAATTCTTTAGTGTCTGCATTTTTATTTTATTTATCTTCTGAAAATGAGACATCTCATTTATGTAACTATGAAAATACTAATAATGAACGTAACAAATTGTCCTCTATACGAGATTCATTACTGAATCGATTAATTGTACAATTATTTCTGCCTAATTTAGATCAGAATAATTTCGAAATTGCTCAAAAACAACATATCACATATTTAAGTCTACTCAATCATTCTATATTATCTCTAGAAAATGCTAAGAATTCCACTCGTCAACTTGTCTATACTGTACTAACTAACTCAGGTCTAATGGATAATCTAGTCAGTTGTTTATTGAACAAAATTTTAACATGTAACTCTTCTTGTTCAATAAATTCAAATCCAGACATAAAAATAAAGTTTTGTACAGCCTATTTAATATTTTTAGCTACATTTGTTCGGATTTTATCTATTTCTAATAATTCTTTATCATCAATTCCACAATTAATTGGTCAAATAATTCATTCACTACGTGCAACCTCATCATTGACAACTGTATCAAATTCTTTTTCAATTACTGTCATTGGTCCAGTAATTGATATATTACTATTAATAACACATCATAAAATATTTTTGCCAATTTTACAAGATACATTTGAATTATGTATCTGTGTTTTCTTGCCTATCTTGTCAACTATTCCAAATGCAGTGTATACTGATAATGTACAAAGTATACATCAATTAATTATGAATGCATGTGCAAATAATAGTCAATTAGTACAACAATTATTCAAATTGATATTTACAATTTTATCGAATAATTTCTCTTTCTTTTTTACACGTAATCATTTGGATACAAATACTAATACAACTACAACAATTCTACAACGTTATACATTAAATTGTCCGGATTTATTTCATCGTCTTATGTTTATCTTTTCTAGTGTATTACATGCGGAACAAGTGAATTCTAGTTTAGTGAAATTTATTATTGAAAAATTAATTGATTTAAATGCATCACATAAATTATTCGATTTATATGATTTCAACAAATCATGGTTATCTGTATTTACAACATCTATATTAAATTTATTAATTGATAATAAACATAATTCATGTAAAGATACACTAACAGAAAGTTTATATTATTTTGCTGCATCATTTACACATTTATCTTGTTCTCAAACTAATAGCGATAATAGTAGCGATAATAACAATAATTCTAATCATCATTCTATCATCATCAATAATAGTAATAATAATAATAACGAACACCACCAATCTAATGGTTTACTTCACTTTGTTCAACATTTCCTTCCATCATATTTGAATACAATACAAAATTTAGACAATAGTCAACGTGTCTCAATTTTATCCTGTTTCTATGATACAAATCAAAGAGAATTCTATGCAAACGATATTACAGTATTTAATCATTGCATAGAATTACTCGTTTACAATATACGATATTATAGTACTATTAATTCGGGAATGACAACAGTTTCATTGGCAAACTCTCATGCGTAGTTCCTGTTTTTTTGAATATGCCAGTAAGCTTTATCATTTTGAAGCATTTGTTTTGTGTATGGCTATTGGTATGATAATGCTTTTACGTTTTCTGTTCTTTATTCTAATATTGTTTTTGATATCGTTTATGTATGCAAGATATTATAAGGTGGTTACCTCAGCTAACAGACAGTCGTATCATTCATTCCTAACCTTAGGAGATTGGACCGATGGGCAGAACACTTCAGGGATCAATTCAACTGACCTTCAGCCACCTTTCGGTTGCCCACGACTTCCAGTCAACCTGAATGGCAAATCGATGTAAGTCCTTCGATTCTTTACGGTGTTGAGGAAGCTACAGGAAATCTGAAGCGAGGAAGAGCAGCAGGATCTCTCAGGTGTACCCCTGAAATTTTTGAGGATGGTGGTCCAGTTTTAGCAGTTAGATTGACTAAGATCTTAGGTAGAATCTGGAAACTGGGCATAATCCCATCTGACTGAAAGGACAAAAGTCTTATTGTGACAATCACAGGGGAATCAGTCTAACTTATATAGTGTCTAAAATGTTAGCCCCGATTATACTTCGACGCCTAACTAGTACTCGCGAAGAGCAAACTCGAAAAAACCAAGCTGGTTTTCTACCTGGAAGTAGATGTATAGACCAGATATTCACACTACGTCAGGTCCTAGAACATAAACACAAATTTAGACCCCTCGCAATTGTTGACTTCCTGGACTTTAAGTCGGCATTTGACTCTGTCTATCTTGAGTTTCTTAGGCAGTGTCTGTCATTTAAAGATGTACCAAAGATATACATTAACCTTATACTCTACTCGAACACTACAGGTTGAGTGCGAGCTTATGGCGAACTGTCATCGGGATTCTTTACTTCAAGTGTTGTCCATCAGCGCTGTCCACTCTCTCCATTCTTGTTTGACTTTTTCATAGACATGCTTTTAGAGATAATATTAACTTCGTCCGACGTTTCAAGGGTGGACCTTCTATAAGTTGACTTACGCCGATGACGTAGTTATACATGAAGAAGACGCTGACGAAATGCAGAGCCTTATAACTGCCCTAAGCAACAATGCAAGCATGTTCGGGATGCAGTTTTCCCTCTCGTAATCTAAAATGTTGCTCCAAGATTAGCTTGTCTTGGCACGTGAACTAGTGGATATGGAGTGAAGCAGTTGAGCGTGTTGACCGCCTCACTTGTCTGGGGAGTCTCATCAGTGCTGATAGCCTGGTGACTGACAAAATCGCGGCACGGACACAGAAGTCTCGATTGGCTTTTGCCAACTTGCGTCACTTATGGCGCAGGTGAGATATCCGTTTGCTAACCAAAGGACGAGTTTACTGCGCGATAGTTCGCTCTTTCCTACTTTATGGCTGTGAAACATGGCCGGTAAGACTAGAAAACGTTCGTAGGTTATTAGTATTGGATAATAGATGTCTTCGAAGCTTCACTCGTACATCCTGGGACAGCCGAGTAAGCGATGCCGTCGTTAGGAAACGAGTATTAGATAGGGATAGCAAATCAATAGATGAAGTATTGACACTTCATCAGTTGAGGTGGTTCGGACATGCGTTACGAATGCCCAACCACCGACTGCCTCGTCGAGCTATGTTTCGTGGTGTAGGAGTAGGTTGGAAGAAAGCTAGGAGCTGCCAAACCTAAACATGGCACAAATCCATGGATTCACTGACAAGTGGACTGAGTAATGTTGGTAGATGTAGACGTCCTGGTTGGCGTCCGCGAGATGAAAGTCACCGATGGTTAGAGACCTTGAATGACATGGCTCAAAACCATTTGCAATGGCGGAAGTGCATCCACTTTTTATGTCCTACCGAATGCTAATCTTTTGAATTCATCAGCACCTCTACCTGTGTCTTTATAAACTTATCTCACTGAATTATACTTCTTGAATAATATCTTCGAACCCCAATCTCTCCAATTACAGCTAGTACTTTTACTACCTCTACTTCTATGGGGTTTGAATTGACGATTTCCTCTCTGTGCTTATGTTTTATGACAACTTGAACTGATGTACGTAGGTACGAAGTTCTACGTTGTAACTAGTATATATATATATATATATATATATATATATATATATATATATATAGAGAGAGAGAGAGAGAGAGAGAGAGAGAGAGGATGAAGTAAATCTATATTACGAGTAAATCACAGACCCGTTTTCTAATATGCAAACTGTTTTGGATAGAGCTAACTGATGCTAACTGTATTCCGCTTGTGAGTTGTCTTAAAATAATCTAATCATACGATCTTCTAGGTTGTCACTTGAATTTCATACCCTTGAATCATAGGTCCAAGCGAAGCATAATAAGTAACTAACTCGATGAGACAAAGCTATGTCTATTTTTTATGATTGTGAGTTCCATTTCTTTTATCAAGACTAAGTCACGTAAGTTGGATAAGCACCTCACATGAAAAGTATAACCACTAGTAGGCACGTGAAGCTGCTTATCATCCTTAATATTAATGTATCACTAACCGTAGTTAATGTGAAGAGAAAAAAGGTAGAGAAAAACAATAATCCATTTATTTATTGAAATAATACACTAATATGAAGTTCAATGACTTATTTTATGTAATTTCATCTTTATGTATGATCTGTTTTTTTCTTTTCATCACAGACAAACTGTTGTGCTCTTTAGTCGTGTAGAATTACACTTGTTATATAGCTAGCTCTATCAGTGAATTCCTCTACCAATTTTTCTATGTGGATCGTCACTAATCACCGGTTATTTAAGCTGTGAGTTATTTCCTTCTCTTTTGTTTTTTTGTTATTGAAAGTTCAATTTTTTTTTCTTTTTAATTAACACATTTTACTTAATGCATTTGCTGTACACACATAAACACACACACACAAGTACTCTTAATTCTATTTTGTTATTGCTAATTATCTGCATATTCATTTTCAATAACAACAAAAATTTGCCTTTGATATTGATTATATTTTTCTTTCTACTTAACCTTTATCTTATTATTATTATTATTGATCGATCAATTTGATTGTATTTGTATTTTTTATGACTTGAATTTTGTAACATTGTTAGTCAATTAGTCAAGTGATTTATTTAAATGCACCACGTCACAATCTGGAAAGTCAAATAAACACAACAGCTAAGATAACACCGACAACAGTGACAACAGCAACAACAACGACAACAATCGGGTTTCAACATTCTTTTTCCTTATTTCTGTATTTTATTATTTGTTTGTTTATCTCTTTACACTGTTTTGTCACATAAAATAATTTTTTTTATATAAAAAATTCCATTTAATTTTTTATGATTATGATGATGATTATTTCAAAATAATTCTAGCATTCCATATACATAAGGGATTTGTATGTTTTGTTCTTTGGACAGTTTCTTCTTTTTTTGAATATGTCAGGATTAATACAACTGACTGTTGTAACGCTTACTTAGATAATTCCCGGCTAAATCTTATTGCCTAGTATTCTTTGACACAAAACACTGGACAAGTCCCCCAAAATCAAAACACGGTTGAACAGGAAAGATTATATTCCAAAATAGCAAGGAATAAGAAGCCGGAGGTGATGGCGAAAGCCAAGACAAAGAGGGCAAATAATAGACACAACGCTAGTCTATTTATAGCCTTTACATGAGAAAGCTTCTGGAAGAAAATTCACGTGATCGACTGGATTAGATTTAACCGATCAGCATGCAGCTAATAATACGAGAATTTTCTATCCTGTTCTTCAAGCTTCGATCAGGCGCTGATTGGATAGGAATTTAGCCAATCAGTGCGCAGCAACGTAGTCGTGCTTTAATTCTATCTATGTCCCTCTAACACCTCCCGTTTGAGAAGATTCGTAGGATCTGGTGCCAGGGTCCAACTGCTTCCTGGGTGCCTTGCCACCCGTACTTTTACGAGCCGCCTGCTTTGTTGGAGCCATATCTTTAAACAACCGTCGATCGGGCTGCTTCCCCACTGATAAGTTTTGTTGAGGCTCATGAACAGCATATGATATAGGGCGTCTCGGACGTGAAGTAGGTTTGGCATCTGCTTTCGCTGGTAGGTGAGCTTTCATATTCGTACAGCGGCCAAGGCTATTCTGAAAAACAGAGGCTGACTTCCTCTTCCGTTCATATTGGAACCTTTCACCTGTCTTCTTTTTAAGTATCGGGGTGTCCAATGATGAACACGATACGCTGCAGACACTTTTAATGGGTACATCCATTATTCCCAGTTTTTCTAGCATATCTAGAAGGAAGGAAAATTCACACTGCATCTCACCAACCAGTTTTAACACACCACCTGAAGCGCTTTTAGCTGTTTTCTTAGATGGCTTCATTGGCGGTTTTCCCAGCAAGTTGTACGTTTCTCTAGACATTAAGGTGATATCAGATGCCGTGTCGATTTGAAAACGAGCTGATGCACCGTTCATCTGGATAGTCACCTACTTTCTCCGAACGTCATAGTCTGTTTGGAAAGCAGCTACGAGAGAAAGTGATTTACAGTCGGCTAATTTCACCACATGTCGAGTACGTTTGTGCTTCTTCTTGGGCTGAGACGTACGATTTGGTTGACAATGGCTTTCTTTATGTCCACGTTTATTGCACATCTGACATTTATGTTTTTTAAATGTATTCAATGTGAATGCCGGTTTAAATCTGAAAAGCAACATCAGTTCCTTTGAAACTATGCGGTATGTCTTCCTGTAGCACATTTTATTCCATTGAGATTTCTTCCGTGGCTGTTCCCAAACCATTTAATATCTGATAATAGATAAACAAACTATAAACTATCTAAGTAGAAATAATCATCCAAAATATGCAGTCCATTTATGATTTAAATTGGCTGCCGTATTCAAAACTACAATAAAATGAAAAATAATACAAGTTCGCTTATATGTAATCTGTGTAACTTTTCCAATACTCTCTTGAATATGATTAGAACAGTTCACTAAAATTTCCGTTGAGTTATTGTAAGTTTACTTAGGTAATTTATTTCCAAGTGCATAAAAAGTAGGTGTTTATCTTTCCTTACAATTGTTTATATTAGATTAAAAAGAAACAACCTTTGGAAAAATATATTTAAATCTCACCAATGGCATATTATATAGCTTAAGCAGTTGATTACCAGTAAATATTCTAACTGAAGAGTTGACAATGTTGTAGACAGTATATTATGATATATATACGAGAAATTCTAAAAATTCTAGTTTTTTTAGTTGTCATTAAACATTTGAAATTTATGAAACTCTATCACAACGCCAGTAGTATGTTATTAGTCAAATAATTAAGTCAGTGAAATAGGTTTATTTGTTTTGGTATAAAAGCTAAAGCAATATCTTAATCACATTTAATAACCTAATAGTTGTAAGTTAATTGTTTGCACCACTAAACTACAACTCCATCACAGAGACCTACTGATAAACTTTCATCAAGTACTTGATGACATCATTAGAGTCCAATTCATGTAGAAGTGAACCTTTCAGTTGTTCTATAAGTATTATATCAGTTCGTTATAATTAGCTTGTTTACGACTGGTTGTTTTAGTAGGCTTGGCTGTCTTTGTTCACTTCTGTATTCTTATTGACTGTCTTTTTCGATTGACCTAATCATGCAACTGGCCGATATCCTGCTTGTGGATGGACGTATTTGCTTTGTCGTAAAGTATATTAAAAGTTGTAAGTAGCTATAAAAACCTAGTGAAATAAAATAAATTCATATTATTCTGCTCAGATATCTGTTCTTCTTCCGTTCCAAGTTAATAAAGAGTATCGATGAGACTGAAATTTAATTCGATTCTCTGTTTTAATTAGTGAAAGACATTGTACATAAAGTAGTATACCGATAACTATTGAAGTAGCGACTTGGCCATTGTTGTTAACATAGCTTTGTCAAGTGAATAGTTGGAAACAGTATGCCAAAAATGGATTCATTGAGTTCTTCATTCTGTTAATCACATGATCTCGTTTATATTTTAAATAACTTGCAATATTACAGCTAAATACATTAGTAATCATCTAACTACGGATGTTTCTGAAACGCATCAGTGTTCTGTATGAACAAGAATAAAAACTTGGTTTAAGGAACCTTAGTTTATGACCTCGGTAATATTTTTTTTTCACAGTTAGTTCTCTTTTATATATACACATTATTACTTCTCATTATCTATTTTCAAAATTATTAAGAAGCAGGAAGTAAATTGCATCTCACGTGTTTTTAGATTTTAGATTGGCATTTATTCACGTGATTTGACCAAAAATGAAAATGCACAATATGACAAATAAACTTTCTTTCCAAGAAATTTTACAAATATCAAGATAAGACCATCAAATAATTAGTTTTTGTTGATATCTGGACTAGTTATTTCATAAGGAATACTAAATAAAAGAAAATTCGCCTAGACTCATAGTTCTTCGTAAAACATTAAGTTAGGCATGATAGTTTAGGAAGTTGAAAACCGATGTTCCTCGTTTTTCATTCACTTCTTTGTAAATTCAATTCAGATGTAGTTCTCATTCCTCACCGATATCCGCTGGAGGAACTTTGAAACAGACCAAGTGGACAACTGTTTACTTCTATTCTGAAACGCAGAAACAGTTGCTTATGATCCCACCAGCAAACGAAGTTCGAACCTTCAGATCTTGTATAAAATAATTTGCCTTTAAAAGTTGCGCTCACGAGTTGTGACTCAATGTTATTTTTCACAAACAAGTATTTTTTGACTAAGCTTCTGCCTACTTTAAAGGACTAGTGGACCCTTAATGAAATGAATTGTTTCATTACCCTCGAATGAGTATTATTCAAGAATATACAAAAGCTCGATCACGGAAAGGAATAAAATATGTGTTTGTTCTTGAGCTAAAATAATATTGGTTTTCATGGATTTCAACATGAGGGTTGTTTTCAAGTGCTTCACAGGTGTTCACTTATTTTCATCACGACAACCTGAATCTAAAAACTATGCAAAAGATTTACACTACTGATAGTAGTTAGATTCTGAAAATAAAAATATCAGTAAAAAGTTGTGGAGACTTGTTCATTGAAATCAGAAGTCGATCGATGTTAAACCACCATCGGTATTCTGGAAACACCGGATGGCCGTTTTGTCCTAGCTTTGGACTTTTCAAGAATGCGCATCTATTAACGTACAAGTAGAAATTGAACCCACAGTCTTTTGTCTGGTTCGCGAACACTTGACCTATGGACCAGTGAGTTGGAATTTAAAAGTATTATTGTCTAGCTCCAATCAACTGACGTACGTACGTATGAAGTTCTGCGTTGTAACTAAATGAGTGACCAGACAGAATTGAATAATACGTATGTGATTTGGTGTATATAATAAAACTGTTACATTTAAAGATGATCTTTCTGCATCATGTCACTAAAATCATTCTTTCTTAAAGAATAAAAAATCACTAAATATCTATCTAATTCCAGTTTAACGTTAAACAATTTCAAATTTGAACTTTTAGATCATTACATCGGTTCTATCTATATGGGTTAACTTTTAAAATAATGTATAACTGTGAGTCAGGGAATGCCACAGGTTCCCACCACTCGTCCTACCAACCAACCAGATCCATGCATTAATGGCGAGATGTGCATCATTTCTGGCGACGCTGTACAATAATATAAAGGCTGTATTCATTTCCACGTTATGCTTTATTAAGTTTTCATTTTCGTTGGAGTTATTGTTGCTAGAGATGACCTAAAACTAATTCTTTTTATCAAGTTTATATTATTCGCGTTAGTTCCTGTGAGCTGAATTAGATGCTTCATTGTTTTCCACTATTGAGGAATGTAAGGAGTTGATAGTATTGCAGGTTTCCATACTCACAGTGTCAAACAGCCAGTTCACTGCATTAAACGTTGTTTTTTCATAATGTCGTATTATTTTAGTGTTTTGATTATTGCCGGTTCCAGCACTAAACTGCGACGCTAAAGATTGAAATGCTTCTCTATAAACTTTTCATTCTTGCCTTGTTTTTGTGCTAGTCGCAGTTTCTCAGAGCTATCAGTGTTGTCTCCGAACATCTTAATAACCATTATTTTGTGTACTAGAATGTCGTATGCACTACCTTCGTTGTAACATCAAACTACTGGATTTCGGCAATTAGATGACAACAGTGTTGTGCAGGTTAATGCATAAATTCGACTTATTCGCAAAAACTCCTACTTGTATGCGTCACAGTGCTTAAATAATTTTACGAAGCAATTCCTGTGAAATAATAAAAATCCCAGGTTCAGGGAATGCCTACATCACGTCA